TGCTAAGCAGGTTGCTGCGCTCGGGTGCGCCGGTAGCCTGCAGGCGCTTTTAGAGGGGTTATTGGGGCTTAGGGTTTCGGGTTTGCCCCAAACCGCAGCAAACAAAAACTCAAGCTTAAAATCGCTGGAGTCTCAACCCTCAACTTGAACTCCAAACTCCTGGCCACCGTAGTCCAGGCTACGAGCGAATCCGACTCAACCCTTCTTCCATCAGCGTGCTGTTGTGGGTCCTGTGCCGAGGGTTGGATTGGGTGTTGAAAAATTGTAAGTGCATGGTGTTGAAACCCTAAACCCAAAACTTCCTAGGCCCCAAATCTCTACACCCTAAGACACCAGAGCCTGAAACCCCAAACCGCACAGTCCCACTAAGCTTTGTAACCCCTAGGGTGAGGTTACATTCAGGCGATGGACTCGGAGTAGGGAAACCCTAAACCCTAAGCCCTAAACCCTAAACCCCCTAAACCTTGCTTGAATCATACAGACCTAGGCTCGAGAGCATCTGTCTAGGGCTTGGGTTTGGCGTTTGAGGCTTCACGATGAATCAACCCCTGCGCCGAAAGTAATTCATATAGGGGCCGGAAAAAGTAGAAATAGTATTCCCCTATATATGGTCCCTATATACTTCTACAATAATACCCCCCCCCCCCCAAAAAAAAAAAAAAAAACGGACCTATTCTATTAATCAAGGCCCCTTTATTAAGTTGAGCGCGGCCTGTGGGGCCAGCCGCACTGCGCCCTGGCAAGGCAGGTCGGGCTTTCGATGGCCAGGAGGGTCAATGAGCACTTTGAGTTGTGTCGAACGCATCTGGTATCGGGATAAAGTTTTGGGACCACCCAACTCAAGCGGCAGAAGGTTGGGGCTTAGGCAGGGCTCGAAGGGAAGCTCCCAGAACTGCAACTCAAACCTTGACATCAGGGTCCCTGGCTGTAAGTGGCCGGAAGATGCCCTTGCATGGCACCCGTGGCCCCAGTCCAAAACCTACCTTCTCGAGCAAGCCCCGATGTCCCGAAGCTGCTCGACTCTGTTTAGGGTTTAGGGTTTAGCCCTGCAGAGTAGTCCAGCCCTGGGTTTCTTCGCCTCTTCCTTTCTCGGGGAGCTGCCAAAATCGGGAACCCTGTGCAACTTGACATCTCTATAGCCTGACACCCTCTACGACCTGAAAAACACACAAAGACCGAAATACTACGCAAGCAAACCCCCCCCCTTTGCAACCCCCCCTGCGCCTGGCTCTGATGCGGTTTTGGCCGCAGGGTGGCTTCCTGTGTTGTTTGAGGCACTGTAAAAGTAGCTCCGACTGTGCTTGAGGCTAGCAAGAGCCATGCATCTTCTTTTCAGCTCGACTTCATTTCGTCCGAGTCTCGACTGCTTACAGCCCAAGCCGTACACCATTCCAGCTCATGGAGTTTGTACTTTGAGTCTAACCGGTAAGACCCTCAATCGGAAAGGTCAGCCCTACACTCCAAAGCCTCGGCCCCTGGATCTACACCTCCAAGGCCAAGTCGGGCTTTTCCAGTTGCACACCTCAAGTGCCCCTGGAAAACAAAATCCTACACTTCGGAGGCACCTTACAAAGACCAGGAAGTCAAAGCCCAAAAGCCCCAAGCACAAAGGAGTGATCCTTAAACTTGAGACCCCAAAACCATCAAACCACCCAAACGCAGAACTCGAGAACCGATGCACAGCTTGGTCCCCGCACCACCTGCGCAGCGTCCCGTACCTGAGACTGCCAAGGTGGTCCTCAGTGCGATTGGCTTTAAGAGGGGATAGGATTAGGGGGACCCTTGGGGATGTAGACCCTCTGAATAAGGTCCCTGTTTTAAGGGAGCCAGAAGAGGGTTCAGAAGGATCCCCTTTTGAAGGGTCTCCCTTATCCTACCTAGGATTTGAGACAACGGGGTGTTCTGGATTGTGGGGCATGTCGCGTTGTAGGCTTCTCTTGAGGCCTCTGCAGATTCGGAAGTCGTGGGGCCGTTTTGGGCGACTCTTCGGAGCCGCCACACAAGGCCAAAACCCTCAACACAACATCAGCTTCTACATCGAATATCTGTAGATATGTGTTTCTGCTGTGCTATTAAAAAGTTCCCTTCTTGGCGTAGAGGCTGACGCGGTGGAAGGGGATGGAGGGTTTAGGGCAGAAAGGCTCAAGCATTGAGAACAACCTCTACATCCCCAACCCTCGGCTCCCACCCGGATGCCGTTGCAGGCCATTGGCACGCAACTGCTTGCGCGCGGCATGGTGCCCTGTCGATTTCGGGCCAGAGGCTGAGCAGATAGAGCACACCGCGGAACCCAGAAAAGTGTTCAGCTCTGACGCAAACCCCAAGGCACTAACTCCTTTCAGCTTCTGAATCCGGAGTTGGAGGAAGCGTCCGACGACCTAGATGACACCCTAAAGTCCTGCAGGTGCATGTGCCGAACAGTGCCCAATGAACGTGGCTTGCCGCCAAGGTGCTGTAGAGGGGATGTGGTGCATCACCATCCAGTTTCGGCAGGGTATAGCCCTCTTTCGAGAGCCTGTGAAGTTGCGGAACCGTTCCAACCTTGAGCCCTAAGCCCTACTCCCTCCTTCTTGCCTCTCTACTGGGCTGTAGTGCAGCAGAGCACGTGAACTGAACCCATTTGTAGGGTGGAGGGTTCCCTTGAACCAAACAAAAGGGATCAAGGGCACCACTGGGCTGCAAAGGTAGAGCCCAAGACTACAGCCGGACGCCAAGCGGCCGCAGCAACTCTTCCTTGAGGCGCAGATTCTCAGCGATTAGTGCTGTCAAGTCCTGCAGTCTGAAGCACGGCCCCGAAAACCCTATTCATGGGTTGATTTAGGAAGGTTTTAAGCCCGAAACCCTATTCATGGGTTGATTTACAGAAGGTTGTAAGCCCGAAGCCCTATTCATGGGTTGATATAAGGAAGGTTGTACGCCCGAAGCCCTATTCATGGGTTGACATAAGGAGGGCTTTTAAAGCAGTAGTTCAATTGCACCTTGCAATCTTCGAGCTACCGGTGAACCATCCTTCGGGTTCGGACCTTCTGGGCTTTGGCTTCTTGGGTGGGGTCTCGTGAGGGCATCTGAGCCTCTCTGAGCCCGAAACTGAAACCTAAATCCTCATTTCGGTGCTGGCGGCTTGATCAGTTGTTTGGAAATTCATAGCTTTCCAAGGGTTGCTGACTTGCAGCACGCAAGTATGGCCAAGGTTTGAGCCTTTAGAAAAGAAAGCCTGAGGACTCAGAACCCAAAACCCCGATCTCGGAAAGCCGAAGGTCATCAGCAGAAGCCCCCCCCACAGCTGCCGACAGCCCAGGCCGCGGACTAAAAGGCTGGGACATTTTTCAGGGAGTGATTGTTCTGGCGCCTCGATTCTGCAAGACCTTCTTTGACAAGACGGACACTTTGAAGGAAGGCTCTGAGGGTCCAAAATCTCAGTCTCCATCCTTATATTCATTCTATAGCTCTGAATCCCTAAACCCTAAACCCCTCAAAAATTGCCAACCCTACGCTTCACTAAGCCCGGCTCCTGCTCCGAGGCCTGGGGCATCAGTGTGGCTGAGGGGGTTCGGGTTCAGGGTTTGGAGCTCAGGCCGAACCCCTAAACCCTAAACCCTAAACCTCGCAACCTTTGAGAATTAAACATAGCAGCCCGGAAGAAAAGACTCGGAGCCTCACCAGTTTGTCCCCTAACCTTTATCCCTAAACCCGAGGTCCTAGACCCCAAGCCCTACATGTGGGGGTTTACGAAGATAAGGGGCTCGTAATATGGACCCCCTATAATAAGGACCCCCAGAGGGTACCCTGAATCTCGGAAACCCCCCCCATGTAGGTTACTGCATTTAGATGTTCTGAGCTTCAGATCGCGGTGGGCCTTCCGGCACTCCCACAGTAAGCTGTCAACAGGCCCTGGTGTTGGTTGCGACTTGCTTGGGCTCCAGCTCCTTCTGACAAAATGCATGCCTTGAACCCCAAAACCCTACACACCTAGACAAAACCCTGAATCTAAATCCTGCCTCCTTAAGCAGCAGAAGCCTGAAATACTCCGTCCCAAAAAACCCATTAAAGCAATGAAATCCCAAATCCTAAATTCGCACAAATCTCTGCCTTCGGCCCATCCGAAGGCGCACCATCAGCAGCCATCCTTGACGCTCCTGAATTGTGTCCGGCTTCGGGTGTCAAGGTGTGGGGCCGTTTGTTGGGCTTCAAGTCAGGGTTCCGGCCTCTCGCCTCCCAAAACTTCAGGCTGACTGATTGCAAGAGCTCGCGGAAACCGAGCTGAAAGCTTTCGGACCACATGGAGCGTGTGCCATGCCTAAAGCAGCAAGCTGAGGGTTTGGGGTTTAAGAGGGCCAGTGCTCTTGGCCCTAGGACAAGCAAGCTTTTTTGATTAACCCTGAAAGCCCCTGTCCTCGCTGCCGCCACCATGTCGGCAAGGACGCTAAGAAGAGGCACGGTACCCTGAATTGTGCTGTTTGACCTAAGCCCCAGCTCGTGAAACCTAATCTTCCACAATCCGGCCTGTGCTCATGCGTGCTGTGTTGGCGAGCATGTTTTGGGTCCTTGCGCTGTTTCTGAGTTTCTTCCCCTATGTGATTCTGATAACATATTTCTCTACTTGGCCTCTGCCAGGTCAGCGCTGTCGAGTTGGAACGTGTTAAGAGGCCTCCCCCTTCTACCACCAAGCAGTGGTCCGCTGCTGGACTTCGAGCCAGCAAGACTGGGCACCTCTGTAAGCAGGAGCTGTCGAGTGTGTGGTGAAATCGGAGCGTATATGTTAAGATGAGACGTAGCGTTGAGGTTGAAAGCGTTTTGGTGTAGAGCCTTTGGTTCACGAGCTCGAGACTTTGTGGGCCTCAGTATGATGGCTTCAAGCCTCCGACGAGTTCTGCAGGTGTAGGGTCCAGGGCAACCCCTGAAACGTATAGGCGCGGCATGCCTGGGATAAATGGTTCAGGACAAAGCCAGGAGTCAGGGTCGGTTTGGGGTCATCGCTCCGAATTCACTGAGCATCTGGCGTCGCACCGCCCGCTGCTGTTCCTGGTGGCGAACAGCGTTTGGATGAACCCCGCCCCAATTTGCAAGCCCTCTGTCAGCCCTGAACCCCAAACATCACGAAGGAATTGGGAGCAAAAGCCCCACGAAAAGGAGGGGGGTGGAGTTCAGGGGCAGAACAATCTGATGGGCACCCCGGGCGCAGAGCTTCAGATCCGGGGTTTGGAGATTCATAGCTGGAATCCTTGGGGTAGAGTTCCAGCTTTCGCATCAATAGCCTCCTACAGGCCTAAAACCTGCATGCAATAACGATAGCACCTGAAACCCTGTAAGAAGCCTAAACTCTCAGCCCAAAGTCAAGGAGTGACCCCACAAGCTTCGTCGTGTTTGCTAGGGCCTTGCGAAAACCTCTGCCAGCCAAACCCTTCCAACATTCCAAACCCAGACCCCCAAACCTGGCCCAAGCCAACCCTAAACCCTAAAACCCCTAACCCCTAAACCCTAAACCCTAAAACCCCTAAACCCTAAACCCGACAAGTCCTTAGCTCTCCCTAAGCAACGCCTCTCGTTTTGTTCGGCGTCTCTTTGGAGCCTCCAGGCACGGAGGCAAACAGGGCCATAAACCTTAAACTCTGAACTCCTTACCCATTGATGAACTGTTAGATTACTGTTTTGAAAGATCTTCTTCAATGCTGTGCAGTTTAGGGTTCGGGCTCAGGCATAGAGAGCGAACAGGTTTCAGACATGTCGCTGGCGCGTCTTTGCATGCAAGGCTCAGTGAAGATGGAGATCCCACCCGCAAGACCATCACCACCAAACCTCAACTCTGAACCCTGCGCACTGAACCTCAAACCATCCAAATCCCGAAGCCTCAGATTCAGCTCGGAAGCAACGCAGTGATTTGGGGATTTTGGTCCTTGTGGAACCCAGTGGAGGATCGCATTTTGTCCTAAATCCGCGGAAACTAAGCACCCTACCTAAGACCTAGGATGCCGTGTAGGCCTTCAAGCCTTGAGCTTTCTAAGGCGCGACCCCAACTTGACTCGCACCACCAGGCCCCCTCTTGGCTCCGGGCGTTTCGCACTGGAGGTTGTCGAGAGCTTGCATCTTCATCCTACAAACTCGGAGTGGTCAGAATCGGCTCTTGGGGTTCAACTCATTCGGGGGGTGAGTTTCTATTTCTCTATGTGCTTCTATGGGTACATGTCACCCGGCAACCCAGGAAATTAGCAATATGACCGAAACGAGTAGCACGACTCAACATGTGTTTATCCGGGGCAGATGTCTAGGGTCTGGCGACAAGGTTTGCTTCTGTTTTCAATTCCAGGTCGCTATACCGGCATCGGTAACACTGCCCATGCTTTTCGGAAAGTGCAAGCAGACCTTCATGTGCAGTTCTCATTTTCCTGCAGAAGAAGGAATTCGCAACACGGCCCAAACGAGCACGATTCTAGTTGGAATGTTCTGGTGTTAGGTGTTATCCTCTTGTTTTTGATTCTAAGTCATGTGTATGCCAATTCATTAACATTTTTATGGCAAGAGCTGTTGAATTCATTGCTACTTCAACATTCAGCGAAATGTACGTACAATGCTACTGGCCGTGTACATAAGGTGCTCATGTGGTTGCAGATTCAACCATCTGGGATTGCTCTGACTGCCCACTGATTCGAGCTCTCACCTTCTGTGACAGCTGGCATTCGTCGTGGATTGTTTGCTTCTGTTTCTGACTTAGTCCCTTGAGGAAGTTTGTGGGAGAGCTTCAAAGCTTTTTCTCTTTGAGCCTTGTTTTGGTCATTCGTGACATAACATTATTCACGACATTCCCTGGGTGCGCATCATGTACTCGCAAAGATGGGACTCTCTTGCTTAAAAAAAGAAAGGAAGAATGTATGGGAACTACTAGCATTTCTCGTCATCAATTGCATCAAAGTCCTACAACTTCTCATGTGACTAGCCGGATAAGAGAAGTGGGGCTCGCCTATTTCAATCTTCTTTCTGTGCAGAGTTAGACAGTGTATCTCACTGACGAAGGGTTCAGAGAATGAAGAACTTGCTCAGATCTTGTTTAGAAAGTTGGGGTATGTCTCTGCGATGAAGAGGAAGAAGAAAGGACATTTAGGACTTCTGCTTCTGGTAAGAAGTGTCACAAGTTAAGAAAAGCCGTCTGCTGACATGTTATGTCTCACGAAGAACAGCAAGAGTCAATTGGCTTTCTACCAGGAAAGCATAAGCTCCATCAAGGGTTCTCCCGCCGATAAAGTAGCAAACGGCGACCAATAAAACAATTTCCCGGGAAGCGTGGCATTTAATCACTCACATGAAGGGTCTCAGTGTTTGGGTTTGCAACTTTCCCTGAAACCAGAGAGCTGAGCTCTTAACTTCTCCACGGCACCGAAACCCAACCTCCAAAATCCCTAGTTTCTAAGCCCCCAGGATCCCCAAAGACCCCAAAGCCCCTAAGCCCGGGCCTGTCTTCCGGCCCCTCGGCCATGCTTTGCACAACTTGCCGTGCGGCCTCTGCGAGCTCAGAGGCCGTTTCGTGTTTTACTCCAAAGCTCCCACACATGTCCCGAACAGAGAGACACCTAGCCTCTACTATACACACCTGTTCTGGAGGAATCATGCTTTTCAAGCATGGTTTTCGGCTTGCTTTTCAGAATTTAGGTGGCCCAAAATCGACCTCGAATCCGTCAGTCTTTCGCAAGCTCTCGTGCAGCGTAGCCAGTGCTCCCAGTGCTTCATCGAAGCCTCGGGGGGTCTCCAAGGCTCGGCCGGGGAGGATGTAGGGGTTTTTGAGGGTTTTTCGGGTTTAGGGCTTTGGGTTTCGGCTTTGAGGGTTCGTCTGCACTATTGAGGGTTTTGGGTTTGAGTGGGCGGGGACCTCGTCACATCCTAGAGCCCTACAGTGAAACCTGTTCACCCTCACCTGCAACAACCTCGAGCCTCTAAGCCCTAAGCAACAACCCCAAAGCTTTCAAACATCTCGGGTGGCTTCCTGCGTTCCTCGTTGAGGGTTGAGAGCTTACCTCAACGTTCATGGGTGCCTGCAAGCAAACTAGGTCGTCAGTAGGCTTGGGTTCTAAGGTAGCCTAGTCAAGAACTCCATCTAGAACCCCATCATGAAAACGGGTAACCCTCAACCCCTCAATTCCTAAACCCTGCAATCCTAAACCTAAAAGCCTTTGAAATCCCAAACTCTTCAAACCTGCAGCCCCCCAGGTTGTCAAAACCTGGAAAGGATGATTTTGGGTTTATGGCGAGAACGAGGCCCAGCCAAACTGCTGAGGCAACCTGTGGCGAGGCGGAGGGCCTACAGTATCCTTTTCGGCTTGAAAACAAGATCTTGGGCCGTACCTGAACCCCTGCCTAAACCCAAAACCCTGCATCGGAAGCATCTCTTGTCCAAGGTTCGGGCCGGCGTCTGCAACAGCACGGTGGAATGCCTTGAGGGCCTCAGGGAAGGGAAGAGCCATTGACAGTAGGGTTCAGCACCTAGGAATTTGGGCTTTGAAACCTCGAACAACAAAATCCAGAGCCCGAAAGCTGTTTCACACACCTACACCTACACACCTACTGCTTCGAGAGTCTGGGATGCGCTAAGGTTTCAGGGCCGGTCCTCGGCCCAAAGGCCCGAAAAGCAAACCGACGCTCTAATCCCGAAGCCCAAATTGTAAGGGCTCATGGGGGAGGGTGGATAGCAGGGGAGCTTGGGCCGAAATCCTAAGGCCTGGGGGTTAGGGCTTGGGATCTGGGGTTGAGGGTCCTGAAAGCCTGGAGCTCTTAAAGCTTAGGAGCCGGAAGCCAAAAGCCAAAAACCATGGAGCCGTGGATGCTAAACAGCCGCTAAACCCGAGACCCTAACCCCTAAACTCATGCAGCCTTGGGGCTAGGCCCCTTTCGTTGCGCAACGCATGCACGTTGCAGAGGCTGACAAGATGCAGCCTGCATAGGGCTTCGGGTTGAAGAGCTTGTTTCGGGACGAGGGCACTTAGGTCGTGCCTCCGATAGCTCAACAGCGTAGGAGTCTTGGCCAGCTCGGCTTTGAGTTTAGGATTGCAGATGCGCCTAGATCGCATTGCAGAGTTTCTCCTGATGCTTGTTCAGAAAAAACAATCTCAACAACCTAGCTGAGCTGCCTAGCTTAGCTGCCTCGATAGCTTGTTTTATGAATTCGCCCGACCTCAGACCCTAGAGCACTATGCTGGGATTTGCCTGGCTTAGCTGGGGCACACGCACACTCAGCTTATGTTGGCAGCACATGGGAGGAGGGAGGGAGGGAAGGAAGGAGGGAGATTTGTTTCTACTAACCCTAAAACATCTCCACGCCTCAAGCACGTTTCAATGCCGGTCCGGCCTGAGGTGCTCAGCTGCACGAGGCTCTCCCGCTTCTGTGAGGATGTCTAGTGCCTCAAGGATTCGAGGTTTGGGGTTTCGGATGGTTTAGGGTTCAGGGTTTTGAGGGGTTAAGGGATCTATGTTCCAGGTTGAGGGTTCGCCAAACCCTTAACCAAGCCCTTCGATGTCCTATGGCTTGGGGCAGCTCTTAAGGGTTTAGGGTGTATTCATGCGCATGGGGGCTTTGAGCCTTTGAGCCTTAGGGCTCTAATGCCTCAGGTTTCACTCTGCCATGGAATGGAATATCAATGCTGATTGATGGTCTTGGTGTTCGCTGCTGGGCCTTCGATATTAAGCACGCGCCTGTCAAGATTGACATGCCCATTGCACGCGGTATCCACTGACGGAAAGCTCTCCAGGCCACCACGCATGAACTGCGAGTCCAGTGCAACCAATAAGACATCTCTACGACTCGATGACACCCGGAAGTGTTCTGGACAAAACAGCACTGACAAAGCGACAGACCCGCCGGTGAAGACCCCCGCCTGACCCAACTCCTTGCACTGGATCGCCGCCTCCACGTACAGCGTCCTGGGCCCGAAAAAACCAGCAACGAGCCCAAACCTTTAAAACCACATGAGAAACCCTGTGCATAGTGGGCTTAGCATCAGCTCTCGTGCTCTTTAGGTACTTTCACGCCTGGACCCTAAATCCTGAATTCCTCAACCCGAAGGCTTGCACACCTAAGCCAGTCGAGGCAGAGATTTAGGGTGCAGGTTGGGATGTTCCCCCTTATACCACTAATCCTGAATGGGGATATTCCCCATTCAGGAATGTTAGTATAAGGGGGGAACATCGCAAGGCGCAGGGTTTACAGGTCAGCGGCTGCAAAAGGACCCCAATCTCCCAAAACGCCATGGGCCGCAAACCTCGGCAACGACCTCATCAGTACTCCAAGCCCGCAGAGACTAGACTCGAAGTCATGACTCGAAGCCCACGCACAAAAAGCTGAACTCGCATTCTAGGTGCCGGGTCCTACTAGGGCACTTGCTGAACCCAAAATCTGAAGCTCCAACCAACTTCAATTTTAAAACCCTAGCCCTGGTATTCAGGGCTTGGGGATTCATTGAGGCATCAAGGTTCGTCCAGGACTCTTCTCCACTCCGTTCGCCTTCCCCTCGTCCTCGTTTCAAAGCACCTGAAAGTTGATCCTGAACCTCAAATTCGGATGGTAGAACCTTACCCGAAGGCTGTCATGAGTAATTAGGGTTCAGGGTTGCTCAGTTCCCGGCGCAAATAGCAGTCTGGACCGCTCGTCCTGGGCCCAATCATCTTTGCTCAGGGTTTAGCCGGGCTTTGGGTTTAGGGTTTACAGTTTGCGGCTGGATGTCACCTCAAGTGGAATGAGAAGCTTCAGGGCTTCTTGATGCAGGCGGACAAAACCCAGGTCCCAACACCCTGAGGCAACCCTACACCCACAGTGTGGCTGGTGGATTCACAGCTGAAGGGGGTCTGCTGCTTTGTGTCCAGAAGATGCCTGTGCCTCTACCCCTCCCACTAAAATGCGGTATCCTTAGGATTAAGACCCACCAAGTCATCAGGTGTAAGAAGGGTGTGCTCTAAGGCCTCCTGTAGAACTCTCTTTGGGCACAGGGGCGTGCATGCCCAACAACCTCCTCTACAAGGATTGGGTGATCAAGTATTCAAAGGCTCAGGGTGAATGCGGTTGAGTGGCATGGGAACAATTTGAGACAGGCTGCCTGTTCGTTCAGCACACAATGTGGTTTCTGTGGACACTGATCCTGGTCCTTAAGGTGTTGGGTCCTTGGGCTGTAGTTGCCGAGTTGCTGGGTGCCTGCCTACAGGTTTCTATACTCCCCTTAGAACCTTAATGAATATATTATTTTTAATATCCTCTTGGGTTTTGTGTAAACAAAATGAAAAATAATTCCCAAGGGGGATATAGGTTTGGCTCTCTTGGCTCATGGTCTCGGTGAAGAAGATTCAAGGAGCCCTGCCATGTACGGCGGTGTCCTGCATCTCTGCCACTCGATGACGGCCGCGGCTTATCACCTAAGATTCGCAGCACTTTACTTCTGACAATTTACTCCGAGGGTTGAGGGCCTGTAGATTACGGCTTTGGGGGCCAGGGATCGAGGGTGGAGTGTTCAGGTTTAGGATTCGGGATGATTCGGGGCTGGGGGTCTGGCAAAACTTAGGGCTCAATGTCGACTCTCTCTCTCATCCAAACCCAGGCAACAGAAACCTGGGATGGTGCCCTTCAGTGAACGTAGACGTTTTTGAAGGTACAGGTGTGACGTCGCCCTGAGTTCTCGAGACTGCTACCAGATCCTGAGTCCGACGCATTAAAGCATTGCTTCCACTGGAGGTCCTGGCACCGACCCCAAGCAGTTCAGGGTTGAGAGCATAGGCACTGTGATCGCGGTGCCTGCAAAGCTAGAAGCCTGGCTACGGCTTTCCTGAGCTGCATTGTGCATGCGAATCCTGGTGTCAGCATGTTTTCCAAAACAAAGCAGCTACAGACCCCTTCGACCTCCGGGGATCTTAGGTTTTCCGAAACCCTAAACCCTAAACCCTAAACTCTAAACCCTAAACCCTTAAACCCTGAGAGCCTCTGCATAGGAGTTCGCCAGTTCGAAGACCAGCTGCAGGTTGCTGGGATCTCGGTTGAGCTTCTCCTTCTTTTCTCTTTGTAGGGTTGAGGGCCTCCTTTGTTGCAAAAACTCACGGCTTCAACCTGCAAACTCAGGAAAAACAAGAACCCTCCTCTTGTAGAACGGGATGCATAATGGGATGTATAAGTGAAGCTGGCTTCTGAAAGAGGGCAGGATGTTGTTGGAAGGATATTGGCTCGTAGGATTTCTGGGATTTTGGGATTGTCGGTTTAGAGTCGAGGAGTTTCACATCCTTTCTGGTTGTGGGTGCATGTGGGTGCTTGAACTCGGCATCTGCGTGGCCTCGCGGCTTCTAGGGGAAGCTTGCTGGGCTCCGGCAAGAAGCTTCTCATGGCTTAGGGATTCGGGAGCAGCTTGAAGGTTTACGATTTGCTTCGGTGGGAAAGTCGGATCTGGGAGGACGGGCTGAGGTTTAGCACCGAACCACGTGACTCCCTCGGGTCCACTTACCACCAGCAGCCGCGTGCCACACAAGTGCTGGCAGAGCTCGAAGGCATCACCAGTGACATTTTGCTCCCTGGAACTGTGGCAACAGCAGTCTCGTTGGTTCGCCAGGCAGATTTGCGGACTACAGAGGGCGTCGAACACGAAGCAGCGCTCAGGCGCCAAGGACCGTGCCGGGAGAAAGTGGCACATCTGCACCAACCCTCGTGCCGCTAGACTGCAAATGGGCATATCAAGGGCTTAGCCTTTAGAGTTGCCAGTGCTTAGAAGGCCCCAGAAGTCGCAAGTTTACGGTTTTAAGGGTTTCGGGATCCTTTGCTTAGACTGATGGGGGCTTTCAGGGATTGTGCTGGGGGCCACTGTGGGCCCTCAAAAGCCCGGAATTCCCTGGCCTACAGGCTGTGGGGTGAGGGCCTCGGACCGTGGGTGGGCCTAAAAGCAGGGTTTAGGGCATAGGGCTTTTTTGCATGCTGAACCCTAAATAAAGTTTTAAGCTTCTTCCGAGCAGTCTCCTTGGCCTCCTTCGTGCTGTTGGAGAAGCCTCGGTCCTGATGTCAGGTACACTCGGCTTTAGGGCGTTCAGGCTTTTCCAAGGGTCAAGTTATTAAAAGCCAAGCGTGTGATAAGACTGCAAACACCATGCACAGCCTCAACCCCCCGCAGGTCCATGGACCCAGCAAAGCATCCTGACAACCTTACGGCCCCCACCCTAGAAAAGCCCTAAAATGCTTAAGGCTTGAAGCTCTGAAGCCACAAAGCTCTGCACTCTAGAAGCCCTTGAGCCGCAAATGCCTAACATGACGAGCGCCTTCCACAACGGCGCGTTGCGAAGGCTGGCGCGCGGAAGAAGTGCCTTGAGGGCCTCGAGGGGTTCCAGGTTCAGGGTTGGGGCTTACGCTTGCGGAGTTTGTTTTTTTGGGTTTGTCCTTTGAGGTTCAGGCCTGTCTCCCGTTAAGCACATTCAGTTTTTGCAGGGTTTTGTTTACAGGGTTGGGCATGAAAGGGCTTGGAGTTCAGGATCGTACGATTTGGAATTGCAAAGCGTTGTGATATGCTGTGGCCGCGTGCTATGAACCTTCTGCAAGTGGGTGTAAGAGGAAGGCCTTGTTCAGCCCCTATAAGGATTAGATTTGCAGTTCAGGGACTTGGGGTCATAAACTCCGGACGGTTCGGAAGTCACCATGGGCCACGATTTTGTACGCAGAAGTTTGTGGCAGCTGTGGTTGCCTTGTCATCAGCCAGCCAGCCTGTCGATAATTCGGATACACCTTATTCCTTAAGATTCTTAAGACTCCTGATGCGAGGTACAAGGGGCTGCAGCTTTGCAATGTTGCAACCCAGATACCTTCACGTGACGCGTCGCGCCATGTCGCAGTCAAACCTTTTCAGCGCATTTTTGCGACACTCCGAAGTCCAAAGCACCTTGTCGGCCCCAAGACTCTCCAAGCGCCTTCCTAAGCAATGTAATGTACCGCCTAGGACCCTGAATCCATCTGAATCCCCAAAGCCTCAAGCCCAAACCTCCAACCCCGACAAAACGAAAGAAGCTAAGGGTCTCAGGCTTCAGGTATAACCCTAAACCCTAAACCCTAAACCTTAAACCCTAACCCATACTGGCATCCCCGACCTCGACATCCGCGCAGCGCGCGGACGCGCAGCCCAGCTCGGCGTCGCCCTCGCCTGGGCCCTGGCGACCTTGGAATTGTGAGCGGGAGTTCAGGGTGACAGGGATGTTTGCTGCTGGGCTACTCTGTCACAGGGCTCTATTTGGGCTTAGGGTTGTCAGGCTGCAGGTTCTGAGCTTGAAGTCTGAAGAGGTCGGCTTGTGTGAGTTTCGGGTGCGTACTACAGGGTTTAAGTGGTTGGGGGCTAGGGTTGTAGGGATTAAGAGTTTGAGGGCTTCAGGACTTTAGGGATTAATAGACTCCCACTTGCGTGCCCCTGGCCACTTTTGTGGCTGAAATGGGTGCCCTCCCTAGTGGAAGGCGACCGTGCATCACCATCATCCAGTAGTTTGGGCTGGGCCACAGGCCCCGCAGGCCCCACAGGCCCCCCCCCCCCAACCCCCTAACCCCCCGCCCCACCTTCCCCCCACCTCCCCCACCGAGAGTGCCGTGCTTGCGGTCTCCACATGCTCAGGGGGCGGCGCTGGGCCTCGCGTAGCGTTAAAATTACTACTAATAATATTCCCCTATGGTCCCTATGTAGCTATACTATCTCATACAATACTAGCCCCCGAAACCTTATGCTAGTCACTAAGGTCCCCATATTACCTGCTCGCAGCCGAACTCTGGGTCGCCGGCGCATGGGCTCGTGCTTGCCCGGCGAAGGGAAAGCATCCACACACGCAAGCAGTCGGAGAAGGCTCGACGCCTAACCCTGAAGCTGAGGCTTAAGGCATCCTAAGGCCTCAGGCTCTTAACTCGACGAAGCATGTAGCTTCTAGGGGCCTGTGTAATCTGTGTAATCCTGCGTATGTAAGCAGGGTTGTAGTGTTAGAATAACATCTCGAAAGCTGATTTAGCGTAGTTCCTTGTGCTCTGAACCCTAAAGTAGACGGGCAATGGAATTAACTTAGCTCTGTTCTGGCTGCGAATGTGCTGCGTTCAGGAATGGTACTACACCGTCTATGACTCACGGGCAATTTTGAGACCTTACTTTCTCGCGTTTGGGGTCTTTGCAGGTCTGGGGTATGAGGTTAGTTTAGGAAATTTGAGTTGCGCCTGCCGCAAGGGCGAGACGTCTTTGTCGGGTTCTTTTGGGCTCTTTTGAGGTTTGCACGGGGATTGCTCTCAGAACCTGAACCGGGCAGAAGTGGCAGTAGTGCTTCGGTCTGCTGGCGCCAAGCCCTCAAACCTGAAACCTCGTCTCCCTCAACTCCCCGAAACTCTGTGCTGCTCTGCACCCATAACCCTTCACGCTAAACCCTGAACCCTAAACGCAGCGTTTAAGGGCACCTGAGCCGGAGCCTTCTGGAACCCACGGGCTGGTGTAGGGTTTATCGGGTTTGCGATTTCCTGTTAGGGTTTAGGGTTTACGGTTTAGGGTTTAGGGGGGGGGGAGGGGAGGGGAGGGGGGTTGGTCCGTGGCACAGAGAAGCCCCACTCTTTTCGAGCACACGTGCCAAGGCAAGAGCCGGCTCAGTGGCCCTCAGGAGTTTCATGCTCTTGGGCTTAGCCCGGAACATCTGGGAGCCATGGGTCCTAAAACCAGCAGACTTTAAGCCCCAACTCCCCAAAACCCAGAACCTCTAGACATCTCTACTCCCTAACAGTCAATACTCCCCTGACCCTTGACTATGCTCTGATGGCCAGGGTTGATCTTAAGTATAGGCACCCTGCTGAGGTCATCTAACCCCTCAGATCCTACGCTTCGTCCACGCTCTGCCGCTCCGCTCACCCGGACCCGCACAGCTTTCACAAGTCCAGGCTCACCGAGTCTCTCTCCTCTGCCGGGTTTAGGGTTTAGGGCTTGGGATCAGGGTTGTAATTTGGAGTCTCGCGTTTGGGGTTTGGGGGTTCCGGGCAGTTGTAAACCCTTTGAGGCGGCTGAGGTCTATGTTTAGGGTTGCGAGTGGACGAACTGGGTCTGGAGAAGGAAGCGGTTACATGGCAGAAGAACACAATGTGTCCTCACAGATCTGCAGGCCCTTCAATGTCTGGGCTGCAAGCCCTTACGACTCAAATGTTTCGACTCTTCACTGATTTCTGGCTGGCCGAGAAAGAGGCCTCAATACCTTAAGCCTCAGTCGTCAAACCTTACACCTTACAGCCGCGCACGCCAGACACAACAGGAGCGGTCTACTTTAGCGCCCCATCAGAAAGCCAGACCTTCAAGAAACCCCTGCCGAGGCTTCAGACGCTGTCCTCCGCAGGCGTGGCTTTGTTCAGTGGCTCCACAGCAGCGCCACCCCTGAATGAAGCGATCATTAGGATACAATAGGGTGGGGATTGGGGATTCCGGACTTAGGCCCTGCGGCGGCCCAAACCCTAAGCCCTAAACTCTGTAGTCCGAAACCTAGGAGCCCGAGATGGGCTGAGACCCTCTTGAAGGTTCGTGGGCATGTACGTATTGAGGCAAACGTCACAAAACAAGAGACAGGAAACTACTCTGATAGCCTTTATGCGGGCACTCATACAAAAACAAACCGATTCACATGCCCTTGAGCCTTCAAACTTTTAATTTCCATCGTTGCTTCCTGAGGATGTGCAGCCGGTTCAGGCCGCTGAAAAAGGCCCTAAACCCGAAGCCCCGAACCCTACAAGCCTTCTAGGGTTCTAGGGTTGAGGACCCAGGATGTTAAGGCTTTAGGCTTGGGGCATCTTCCGGCTGCATCTAGGGCCGGTGGCAACTGGCGCCTTTAACATCCCCAACCCGAAGCCCGAACCTCAATTGTGGTGTAAGGTTCTAAGGCTATCGTGTGAAGAGCTCCGCCAATCGGCAGCTTTTGGTTCTAGGCTCTGGCATGGCTGAAAGCTTCGCGAAAAACCCTGAATGTACACAGCCCCTCCCGGAAATCTCAACCCTGAACCGCCCAAAGTCTAGGATAAGAGTTTAGAGCCTCTCGATGTGTAGCTGGCACAAGCACGGTGCTTACGGTTTAGGATTCATTCAGCTCAGCCACTTTTTGTCATACCTGGCAGGGCAAGCTGCCAGGAGCTTGCTTGGGATTGTGGGCGTTTACGTTTCTGGGTACAAGAAGTGGTGGCTGGCCAGGACTCTGCGTTGAGGACCTAAAGCTTAGTTGGGGCCTAGTGTTTTGGGGCATTTGGGTTTCGCAAGGCTGCAGGTTTAGAATCTGCGAAAGTTGTGATCCAAGGTGGACTGTGGCAAACTTGAGGGTGGGGACGATTCTTTCTTTCGCAAGCTTCGTTTACCCATTTTACGCCCTCTCTACGCCCGGCATGCCACATGCGATAGCCGCAAAGGCAAAAAATCCTCAAAACCCTGAAGTCCCTTTTTAGCCCTCACCCTCACCCTAAGCTAAACCCTATGTATCACCCGATACCCTCCATAGCTCAACATCCTCTGACTGACCCCGAGCCCTAGACCCTAAGCCCGAAACCCTTGAACTTCGGGTTAGTCGGCCATAGGATCATAGGATCACAGGGGGCAGGGAGTAGGAAGGACACCGAAGTCCGTGCTTACCCCTCCGTCCCGCAAACCTTCTGAATGCCTCAGCCTTTCAACAGGTTCAGGGTTTGTAGCGTTGAGGGGTTAGGGGTTGTAGGCTTTCTTTCTTCTCGGCTGACAGATTCAAAGCCCGCAAAACCCTCACCCTAAGACCTTGCAGCCCCCTACATCTGAAAGCTCGGAGCCCCTCTGAGCCACAGCAGACAGGTGGCTCAACAAGAAGGGCGCAAACGCGATCCACGTCGCTGAGCTCCAGCCCGTGGTGGGCCCCAATGAGGAAGCCTTCCTGCGGGCGAAAGAGATCGGATGCAGGATTCATCTAGGGGTCAGAATGCTTCCTAATAGTACTCCCTCATAGCCCCTTTGTAATTGTACCATAACATTTTCCCAATCCCTATTCCGATTATTAGGGCCCCACATTGGGTTAGGATGAGGGTGCTGAGGGTTTAGGACTTAGCGATGTAGGGTCTCCAGGCTCAAGAGATCTGAAGGCTGGGCTTTGTGATTCGGATGTTGTGTGAAAAGAAGGCAAACTTCGGGAGCTGATCCCTGGGACGCAGGGATTCGTGGCTGAGACTTTATGAGAGCAGGGCTTGCGGAGGATTGCACAGGAGCCCACAGAAGAGAAGGCTTGCACCAGCACTGGTACTCACGAATCTCTCTGCAGTGAAACGGACACTTCCAGTTGAATGCAGTCGGTTAAGTGTCAGGTTACGCGTGGTGCTGTCCACGTGCAGCGCTCACAGCTGAAGCTACATGGGGCCAGTTGCCAGTCTGAAGCAAGCCAAGACTTGAAGAATCCCCTAAACCCCCCTCAAGAAGTCATCCCCCCAAAGCACTCGGAAGCCCAAAGCACTCCTGAGCCCAAAGCACCAAGCCCTCAACGCAAAATGCTCATAATATTGAAAGCCGCAGCCTGAACCCATTACCGATGCGCGCTAAGGCCTTTGGGGCTTCAAGTTCGTCTGACAGGCCAAGCGACCTTCATGACCTGATCTGCCCCCTCGAAGGCTTGGAGATAGTGCCGATAGGCAGGATGCCGTGTGATGTTTCCTGCCAGTTGCGGTCTAACCCAAAGCCCCTAGACCCTAAACCAGGTTCGGGTCGAGCAGAGCTTCAGCCACCAAGCACAGGTCCGTCTGTGACTGGGACACAACCCTAAACCTTGAGCCCTAAGCCCCGGAGCCCTAGAACCCGAAACTCCAACACCCCTAAGCCTGGAACTGTTGAACACATGCGACGCCCTGCCTGCAAAGAAAACACGGATCTGCACGTCGTTACCTTGGAAGGGCCGGGGCTTCGCGAATGCGGCCCTAAGCGCCTTACGGCAATCTGATTGCTCAACTCCCCCCCCCCCCCCGAGGTGTTCCTGATGAGGTCCTCCCACGATTCCAAACATCCGTGTAAGGGCTTAGGCATGAGGCCTCTGAGGCAATGAAGAGCCCCCAAACACCCTAAACCCTAAACCCTAAACCCTAAACCCTAAGTCCAGTTAGACGAAGACCAACTTTGGGCCAAGGCTGCTCTCCAGGTACCGCAGCACGCCCTTGCGGTCGTGATACAGCAGGGGCATGGCCAGCCAATCCTTAGAGTTTAGGGGTTTAGGGTTTAGGGGTTTAGGCGTTTAGGGGTTTAGGGGTTTAGGGGTTTAGGGGTTTAGGGTTTAGGGTTTACCCCAAGAACCCTCAGAGAACCCAGAGTAAATGTTAAGCCCGCCGAGTCCTTGCAGAACCCTGCCGTGGTCGGGTCCTGCGGGTTCTGGGGCACCAGGGGGTCTTGCGTTGCGAGGGCCTCCTAAATGGCTTTGGGACACCTGACATGCTTCCTGCTCTCCCCTGCCGGGCGTCGTAGTCGTCAGGCCGGTCTGGCAGAACATAACCTCACAGGTGCAGACGGAAGAGAAGGAGATCAGTGTTTGTGTTTTTTTGGAGGGGCCTTGGGTAGCCTTAAACCTCAGAGCCCTCAACTCCTCGCCCCAAGCCCAGTTCAGGGCTTAGATGACATGAGAGTGAGTGAAAGAGAGAGAGAGAGAGAGAGAGAGAGAGAGAGAGAGAGAGAGAGTGCGGAAGTACATGGGGGGCAACTTCGGTTTCTCATAGGGCCAGCAACAGCTGATGCTCATGATGCGCCGGGGTTTGGGTCCCAAAGTTAGGGCCAGCAACAGCTGATGCTCATGATGCGCCGGGGTTTGGGTCCCAAAGTTAGGACCAGCAACAGCTGAGGCTCATGATGCGCCGGGATTTGGTTCCCAAAGTTAGGGCCAGCAACAGCTGCTGCTCATGATGCGCCCGGGTTTGGGTCCCAAAGTTAGGGTCAGCAACAGCTGACGCTCATGATGCGCCGGGGGGTCCCAAAGTTAGGGCCAGCAACAGCTGATGCTCATGATGCGCCGGGGTCTGGGTCCCAAAATTAGGGCCAGCAACAGCTGATGCTCATGATGCGCCTGGTTTGGGTCCCAAAGTTAGGGCCAGCACCAGCTGATGCTCGTGATGCGCCGGGGTTTGGGTCCCAAAGTTAGGGCCAGCAACAGCTGATGCTCGTGATGCGCTGGGGTTTGGGTCCCAAAGTTAGGGCCAGCAACTGCTGATGCTCCTGATGCGCCGGGATTCGGGTCCCAAAGTTGGCCAGCAACAGCTGATGCTCATGATGCGCCGGGGTTTGGGTCTCAAACTGAGTGCCAGCAACAGCTGATGCTCATGATGCGCCGGGGTTTGGGCTCCAAAGTTAGGGCCAGCAACAGCTGATGCTCATGATGTGCCTGGTTTGGGTCCCAAAGTTAGGGCCAGCAACAGCTGATGCTCATGATGCGCCGGGGTTTGGGTCCCAAAGTTAGGGCCAGCAACAGCTGAAGCTCATGATGCGCCGGGGTTTGGGTCCCAAAGTTAGGGCCGGCAACAGCTGATGCTCATGATGCGCCGGGTTTGGGTCCCAAAGTTAGGGCCAGCAACAGCTGATGCTCATGATGCGCCGGGATCTGGGTGGTTTGGGTCCCAAAGTTAGGGCCAGCAACAGCTGATGCTCATGATGCGCCGGGATCTGGGTGGTTTGGGTCCCAAAGTTAGGGCCAGCAACAGCTGATGCTCATGATGCGCCGGGGTTTGGGCCCCAAAGTTAGGGCCAGCACCAGCTGATGCTCATGATGCGCCGGGGTTTGGGTCCCAAAGTTAGGGCCAGCAACAGCTGATGCTCATGATGCGCCGGGGTTTGGGTCCCAAAGTTATGGCCAGCAACAGCTGATGCTCATGATGCGCCGGGGTTTGGGTCCCAAAGTTAGGCCAGCAACAGCTGATGCTCATGATGCGCCGGGGAAAGTTAGGGCCAGCAACGGCTGATGCTCATGATGCACCGGGGTGTGGGTCCCAAAGTTAGGGCCAGCAACAGCTGATGCTCATGATGCGCCGGGGTTTGGGTCCCAAAGTTAGGGCCAGCAACAGCTGATGCTCATGATCGGGTTTGGGTCGCAGAGTTAGGGCCAGCAACAGCTGATGCTCATGATGCGCCGGGGGTTGGGTCTCAAAGTTAGGGCCAGCAACAGCTGGGTTTGGGTCCCAAAGTTAGGGCCAGCAACAGCTGATGCTCATGATGCGCCGGGATTTGGATCGCAAAGTTAGGGCCAGCAACAGCTGATGCTCATGATGCTCATGATGCTCATGATGCTCATGATGCTCATGATGCTCATGATGCGCCGGGGCTTGGGTCTCAAAGTTAGGGCCAGCAACAGCTGATGCTCATGATGCGCCGGGGTTTGGGTCCCAAAATTAGGGCCAGCAACAGCTGATGCTCCTGATGCGCCGGGGTTTGGGTCCCAAAGTTAGGGCCAACAACGGCTGATGCTCATGATGCGCCGGGGTTTGGGTCCCAAAGTTAGGGCAACCAACAGCTGATGCTCATGATGCGCCGGGGTTTGGGTCCCAAAGTTAGGGCGTACCCGCCCCCCCGAACCCCCCCCCCCCCCCCCCCCTACGCCCCCCCCCCACCCTCACCCACCCCCCCACCCCCCCACCCCCCCTCCCTACCCCCTTCCCTGTTCAGTGGGCCCCCCCAGAAAAAGAAACAACCGAATGCACCCTTTTTCGAACGGCTGATGCTCATGATGCGCCGGGGTTTGGGTCCCAAAGTTAGGGCAAGCAACAGCTGATGCTCATGATGCGCCGGGGTTTTGGTCCCAAAGTTAGGGCCAGCAACAGCTGATGCTCATGATGCGCCGGGGTTCGGGTCCCAAAGTTAGGGCCAGCAACAGCTGATGCTCATGATGCGCCAGGGTTTGGGTCCCAAAGCTAGGGCCAGCAACAGCCAACAGCTGATGCTCATGATGCGCTTGGGTTTGGGTCTCAAAGTTCGGGCCAGCAACAGATGCGCCGGAGCTGATGCTCATGATGCGCCGGGGTTGGGGTCCCAAAGTTAGGGCCAGAAGCGGCTGATGCTCATTATGCGCCGGGGTTTGGGTCCCAAAGTTAGGGCCAGCAACAGCTGATGCTCATGATGCGTTGGGTCCCAAAGTTAGGGCCAGCAACAGTTGATGCTCATGATGCGCCGGGGTTTGGGTCCCAAAGTTAGGGCCAGCAACAGCTGATGCTCATGATGCGCCAGGGTTTGGGTCCCAAAGCTAGGGCCAGCAACAGCCAACAGCTGATGCTCATGATGCGCTTGGGTTTGGGTCTCAGGGCCAGCAACAGATGCGCCGGAGCTGATGCTCATGATGCGCCGCGGTTTGGGTCCCAAAGTTAGGGCCAGCAACAGCTGATGCTCCTGATGCGCCGGGGTTTGGGTCCCAAATTTAGGGCCAGCAACAGATGATGCTCATATGATGCGCCGGGGTTTGGGCTCCAAAGTTAGGGCCAGCAACAGCTGATGCTCATGATGCGCCGGGGTTTGGGTCCCAAAGTTAGGGCCAGCAACAGCTGATGCTCATGATGCGCCGGGGTTTGGGTCCCAAAGTTAGGGCCAGCAACAGCTGATGCTCCTGATGCGCCGGGTCCCAAATTTAGGGCCAGCAACAGCTGATGCTCATGATGCGCAGGGGTTTGGGTCCCAAAGTTAGGGCCATCAACAGCTGATGCTCATGATGCGCCAGGGTTTGGGTCCCAAAGCTAGGGCCATCAACAGCTGATGCTCATGATGCGCCGGGGTTTGGGTCCCAAAGTTAGGGCCAGCAACAGCTGATGCTCATGATGCGCCGGGGTTTGGTTAGGGCCAGCAACAGCTGATGCTCATGATGCGCTGGGGTTTGGGTCCCAAAGTTAGGGCCAGCAACAGCTGATGCTCATGATGCGCCGGGGTTTGGGTCCCAAAGTTAGGGCCAGCAACAGCTGATGCTCATGATGCGCCGGGGTTTGGGTCTCAAAGATCGGGCCAGCAACAGCTGATGCTCCTGATGCGCCGGGGTTTTGGTCCCAAAGTTAGGGCCAGCAACAGCTGATGCTCATGATGCGCCGGGGTTTTGGTCCCAAAGTTAGGGCCAGCAACAGCTGATGCTCATGATGCGCCGGGTTTGGGTCCCAAAGTTAGGGCCAGCAACAGCTGATGCTCATGATGCGCCGGGGTTTGGGTCCCAAAGTTAGGGCCAGCAACAGCTGATGCTGATGATGCGCCGGGGTTTGGGTCCCAAAGTTAGGGCCAGCAACGGCTGATGCTCATGATGCGCCGGGGTTTGGGTCCCAAAGTTAGGGCCAGCAACAGCTGATGCTCATGATGCGCCGGGGTGATGCTCATGATGCGCCGGGGTTTGGGTCCCAAAGTTAGGGCCAGCAGCGGCTGATGCTCATGATGCACCGGGGTGTGGGCCCCAAAGTTAGGGCCAGCAACAGCTGATGCTCATGATGCGCCGGGGTTTGGGTCCCAAAGTTAGGGCCAGCAACAGCTGATGCTCATGATGCGCCGGGGTTTGGGTCTCTCATGATGAGACGGGGTTTCGGTCCCAAAGTTAGGGCCAGCAACAGCTGATGCACATGATGCGCCGGGGTTTGGGTCCCAAAGTTAGGGCCAGCAACAGCTTATGCTCATTATGCGCCAGGGTTTGGGTCTCAAAGATCGGGCCAGCAACAGCTGATGCTCCTGATGCGCCGGGGTTTTGGTCCCAAAGTTAGGGCCAGCAACAGCTGATGCTCATGATGCGCCGGGGTTTGGGTTCCAAAGTTTTGGCCAGCAACAGCTGATGCTCATGATGCGCTGGGGTTTGGGTTCCAAAGTTTAGGCCAGCAACAGCTGATGCTCATGATGCGCCGGGGTTTGGGTTCCAAAGTTAGGGCCAGCAACAGCTGATGCTCATGATGCGCCGGGGTTTTCCCAAAGTTAGGGCCAGCAACAGCTGATGCTTATGATGCGCAGGGGTTTGGGTCCCAAAGTTAGGGCCAGCAACAGCTGATGCTCATGATGCGCCGGGGTTTGGGTCCCAAAGTTAGGGCCAGCAACAGCTGATGCTCATGATGCGCCGGGGTTTGGGTCCCAAAGTTAGGGCCAGCAACGGCTGATGCTCATGATGAACCGGGGTTTGGGTTCCAAAGTTAGGGCCAGCAACAGCTGATGCTCATGATGCGCTGGGGTTTGGGTTCCAAAGTTAGGGCCAGCAACAGCTGATGCTCATGATGCGCCGGGGTTTGGGTTCCAAAGTTAGGGCCAGCAACAGCTGATGCTCATGATGCGCCGGGGTTTGGGTCCCAAAGTTAGGGCCAGCAGTTTGGGTCCCAAAGTTAGGGCCAGCAACGGCTGATGCTCATGATGAACCGGGGTTTCGGTTCCAAAGTTAGGGCCAGCAACAGCTGATGCTCATGATGCGCCGGGGTTTGGGTCCCAAAGTTAGGGCCAGCAACAGCTGATGCTCATGATGCGCCGGGGTTTGGGTTCCAAAGTTAGGGCCAGCAACTGCTGATGCTCATGATGCGCCGGGGTTTGGGTTCCAAAGTTAGGGCCAGCAACAGCTGATGCTCATGATGCGCCGGGGTTTGGGTTCCAAAGTTAGGGCCAGCAACAGCTGATGCTCATGATGCGCCGGGGTTTGGGTCCCAAAGTTAGGGCCAGCAACGGCTGATGCTCATGATGACCCGGGGTTTAGGTTCCAAAGTTAGGGCCAGCAACAGCTGATGCTCATGATGCGCCGGGGTTTGGGTCCCAAAGTTAGGGCCAGCAACAGCTGATGCTCATGATGCGCCGGGGTATGGGTTCCAAAGTTAGGGCCAGCAACAGCTGATGCTCATGATGCGCCGGGGTTTGGGTTCCAAAGTTAGGGCCAGCAACAGCTGATGCTCATGATGCGCCGGGGTTTGGGTCCCAAAGTTAGGGCCAGCAACAGCTGATGCTCATGATGCGCCGGGGTTTGGGTCCCAAAGTTAGGGCCAGCAACAGCTGATGCTCATGATGCGCCGGGGTTTGGGTCCCAAAGGAAGGGCCAGCAACAGCTGCTGCTCATGATGCGCCGGGGTTTGGGTCCAAAGTTAGGGCCAGCACAGCTGATGCTCATGATGCGCCGGGGTTTGGGTCCAAAGTTAGGGCCAGCAACAGCTGATGCTCATGATGCGCCGGGGTTTGGGTCCCAAAGTTAGGGCCAGCAACAGCTGATGCTCATGATGCGCCGGGGTTTGGGTCCCAAACTTAGGGCCAGAAACAGCTTGGGGGAGCGATTCTGATGGTTGCCGACGTGCTGGATGTGAGCAATACAATCTCGAAGTGCCGATTGGAGTATTGCAGACTATGATGTTTACAGAGAAACCCTTCCGCAAGGCTTGCACGAACACCGCGCATTCCGCGGACCCTTCCGGCCAATCTCGTTTACCTCTTCAGCCCCTTCTGCGGAAAATAACAATGCCCGCTGTAAGTTAACTTTAATCAAGCGCCTAAGAGAAATCACAGCTCGGGTGTTGTGGGACCTGCAGAATGCGCAGTTGTGGGGTTTTTCGTAAGGAGAACACCTTCGACCTGCAAAACAAGAAGCCCCTCTCAGAAGAACAAGCCTCGGAACCCTAAGCGCTCTAAACCCAGAGCCCCTTGCTGCCTGAGTGCTGCCCGGAAATATCTTGACCCTGGTTGTGTGATCCCAACCTTTCTTCCCCTACGTGCTGCAATCTGGCGGCGCGTTCCTGCCTTCGCGAGATTCTGGCCTTGGCGCTGCTGGGCTAGGTCTGGGCTTCTGGGGTGTGGAGGCTTGAGGCTACCGAGGGCTTGTGGGTCCCGGGCTACCGCAGGCCCAAGAGCTGGCCTCCCCAACCCTAAAACCCCAAAAGCTGTCAGGACCACCAATCCGAAGTTGAAGTAGCAAATCAGGGGTTCGTTCGTGTCCCGAAACTTTGCCTCCAAGGCCTTCGTTCCAGTCTTTCCATTCGAGGGTTGCAGGGTTTGGGCAGGGCTTGAAATTTAGGATTCAGGGGTTGAGGGTGTTAGGGCTTGATGGGTTTGGCGTTTTTAGGGGTAGTTCGGACGTCGCCGGGTATCCCCTGCAAATGCCCATTGGGCTGCAGGTCTGAACCCCCAATCCTAAAACCCCAAACTCCAAACCCCAAACAACCATCCTAAAAGTCTCGGAACACACTCGAAAGCCAATGATTCAGAAGCTCTGCACCTCCAACACAACTCAAAGAACACCCTAAACACCAGGGATCCGAGGCAACCCCTCAGTCTCATGAAGCCAAAGATCCCCTCAGACCCTTGCTTGGCCAGGCCCAACATCTTTCAAAAATTCAGACATCTGAAGGGTGGTTTAAGGTTCAGGGCAGCACTTAACAACATGCCCTGAACCCCGAAACCCCTATGGGTCGTAACTGACAGGTAGAGCTGCAGTATCTGGCGATGTTCCGCCGCCGGATGGCCTGCAAGGACGAAGGGCTGAGGGTTCAGGACTCTGAGTCGCCAGCTTAGTTTGTGGAAGGCTTCAGGTGTGCAGGAGCAACTGGCATTGGAGGCCCTGGTTCTCAAAACGGTTAGTAGGGAGGGGGGGGGTCTCCCAACAGTCAGCCATAAACCCTCAAGGTGTAGGTGTTGAAGGCAGCTTGAAGTAAGGTGCCAGAGCACACTAAAACAGCATAACACAACCCCAACGTCATCTGACGAAAGCTGGTGTAGGCTCCGTTGCTAGCGTCTTAGTTCCTACTTCTGAGAAACATAGGCCAAAACGTTGGTCTTTCCGCTCGCTTCGAGGTCTGCCGCCCTAAACTCTAATGAGTAAGCTTGACATGGGTGAGGTAAAAGCCCTCAGCCAGCCAAAGGGAGCAGGGTGAGCTGCAGACCCTACATTCAAGTGCAGAGATGACACACAAGACCGCTTCTAACATTTGAATGGGGATGGGACCAACAAAGGAGACCCAGTGATGCAAAGGACCTTATGGAGGAGCTGTCCGAAACGCTTGAGAGGGGGCAAAGGGAAGGGAAGGGCTGGCGGCTCCCAAAGCAGCTGCGGCCCTCAAGCCTGAACCCAAACAGCACCACACCCAGCATCTCAAGCCTTCCGCACAAAAAAACCCAGCAAAACCCATGGCCTTGAATCGGTCCAGCTTGTCCAGCTGAGCCAGCCCAAAGGCGGCGTTCATCTCTGAAGCCTTCATGTTCCAGCCTGGACGCGGTGTCACTTGCTTTCTCGGGGGCGAAGAATTTGGGTTCCAGGTGTTCTGGGTCAAGCTGCTGCGCATTCACTTTCTCCGCCCCTTTTTCACTTCAATATCTTCGCTTTCTCTAGGCGCAAACCGTCTAGAAGCTTCTAGTCCAGGTGGCCCGGCTGTGTCGGGGACACCCGAGGGACATAAGTGTGAAGTGCTAGTCTTGAACTTCATGATCCAAGTTCACCGTCACGACGCTCTCAAGCGTCCCCGTCATGTTCTGCAACTTCTGACCCTTTCCATTTTCGTGCTCCCTGCTGCCAGCGCCAACAGACGTGCTGGACCCAAGCCCTACAAGTAAGACCTAGGACTAATTAGACCCCAAAGCCGAGACCATCAGCCCACAATCCCCAACCAACAATGGCTCCAAACTTTCATCAGCCCCAGACCCCGCAAGCCCCAAAGTTCGAGGACGCTTCTCAGCATCTGTAAGCCGATGCCCCAAGCCCTCCAGTGTTGAGTCGCACGTCTAGGGGTTCAGGGATGCTCTATAGGGTGCCAGAGGAGCGGCCTATGCAGCCGTAGAGGAACTTGAAGTCCTTGAGCGTGCGCAAGAACGAAAGGGCTTAGGGCAAATCTATCGTAAGTTGCTGAGTGCCCTGGCCCAAAAGAGGATAACCTCTCAACTTTGGTAGGATTGTATATGCCCCAAAAGGTTAAAGGCTATCTACTCAGCTACTAAGTGTTGGGCTTGGATCTTTAGAGCTGAGGCTTTCTGAGAGGTTCCGGATCGCATCATGGCTCGCGGCTTGGGCGTTCCGCGCCTCGAAAGACTATGAGGGAGGGCGCTTTCGGTGGACGGCAGGATGGCATCCCTCTTCGAGCAATCCCTCCTGCCTTTGCAAGCCTCTGCCGGGTACGCGAGAAGGAAGAAAGGGAAAAGTGTTGTGGGGGAGGAAGTTGTGCACAAAATCTAGGGACACCCTCGAAACTCGCTCGGGCCTAAAGACCAAGCAAATGCGCGCCGTTTATGGGTCTGCAAAGTCTTGTGGCAGATGCTGAGGGCTCCCGCCTGCTGAGCCGGAGGCTCTTAACTTGCGGGACCCTAGGCCGGCTGGGGATGTAGGGCTCGTCTGCCGGCCCCTGCACTCTAAGCTTTCTAAACTCTCTAAACCCTACACCCAAGCCTCAGCCTTGAAACCCCTCACGCCTGTTGCCACAGTATCGCCCCAACAAGATTTCAGCAGCCCTGGGCCCTGCTCAGGTCGTTGGGCAACTTGGGGTGTTTGGGGTGTAGGGCTTAGGGCTTGGGGGCCCCTACCGTTCAAGGGTAGAAGGAGGGATCCTCAGAATGGACCCTTCATCTTATTCCCCAACATAACCCATATGTATATATATATATATACATATGTATATATTATACCGACACGAATCCACAACTCCGAGGGTCGTATTCAATGCCGTCGACGTGGTGGCCAAACCTCTCCGACATGTCCTCCCAGTCCCAGGGGGCATAAATCCGGCAGGAAAGCGTGCACCCTACGCGCGAGACCCCGAAACCAAAAAACCCTAACCCTAAACCCTAAACCCTAAACCCTAAACCCTAAACCCTAAACCCTAAACCCTAAACCTCTGAGTTCGGTCATTTCGGGTGTGCCAACCGTCCTCCGAGTTGTTTCCGATCCGGCCCCAATCTCGGAACATCAGAGCTTTCCTTAGGAGTTGGGATGTTCCCCCTTATACGAACAGTCCTTAATCGGGATTCTAAGAGGGGGTACTATAATTCCTATTAAGGACTGTTACTATAAGGATGAACATCAGAGCTTTCCTTAGGAGCGTCTAAGCCCGAGGCCTTTTCAAACAAAAGCAACCTGTACATGAACTTGTAGCTTGAGACTTGCCCCCAAACCCTCAACCCGGATTCCCAGCATTGTCGAAAATGCAATAGGGGAAAGGTTGAGAAGTTAGTCTCAAGCAACTCCTGAGCCCTGGAACCTGTAGGTTCCCATGCTTGAGCGACATGTCTTCACCGCCGCGATTCTTGAAGGTTTTAAGGGTTATGCCTCCTCAGCTTAAATGCCCAAAAACCTGCTCAGGTGCCAATCACTAGTAGACCTTACAGTCCAGATCCTGGAAGATGTTACCACGCAGAATCCAGCCTCAAAGCACAAAGCCTCGAACTCTCGTGTCCCCAAACCTTTGAAGCAAACGCTGCCAGCAGTGAGCTTGAAGCTCCTAGAAAGTTCCAAGCAGGCCCTCAGTTTAGGGTGTAGGGTTCTGGAAAAGCTGTGAGTCGCAATTCCTCAACCAAGGCAAGTTGCCGTTTCAGCTCCTCGTTGTTGAACATCACGCAGCCGCCTAAACCGCCTGCGGTGATGATGTGCGACGCCTGGGGGTTTGAGGGCAGTCTGGTGCAGAGTGACATTCTTCAGCTGTTTGCAGCCCTTGGAAACCTAGCAGAAGGTGACCTTGACATGTTTCACCACCTCCGTATGAAGATGCCTCTCAGGAAATGTGCAGACCACACCAGTCTATTGGAGTTGACTTTTGAAGGGATGGCGCTTAAAGATTTCACCTTGTGATCTAGAGCACATGCCTCACAACTTCTCACGCCCCATGAGCAGCGCTCTCGCAAATTTATACAAGCCTCTTTACGCTTTTCCTATGTGCAGGCTAGACCAGTCTCTGGACTTGGAGTTGTTTAATCTGCAATGCTGCCAAGCAAGCCTCGATCCTTTGTGAAACTGTCTACAGCAAACCGTCTAGTTTGATCGTTGGGGTTGACGCCAGGTGCAGGTTCCCGAGAGGCTGTAGAGGAGGTATCGCAAAGTAAACCCGGTCTAACCGGCGGGACATGGTGGTGAACATTGTCCAGTTGAGGGTTCAGAGTAAAAGGCCCTAAACCCTAAACCCTAAACCCTTAACCCTAAGTACCGAAACTGAACAGCCGAGACCCTCTGGCTGACTCCCTACACCGAAGCATCCGCAGCAAACTCCAACACCACTGTGCCAATTCCGCGAACCTTCTTCCCTCCCTGCTTTGGTGCGTTCATGGTGCATAGAATGAGATCACAGACACATCTGAGTCTGCAGTGTATGTGATGGTGTCGCAGGAGTCCTTGCAGTGGCACGGGCGCGAAGATGAGCCGGAGAGTACGGCTTTGAATCGAAGAAGTATGAACCCGGCAGTACGGCCACAAATTGAAACAAGCCATCAGTGGCCTAGACGTAGCGCGACCATCTTTGTCAGACGCCGCCAATCAATCTTATTGTGTGCCACTTCGGAATGAAACGCCTGTCGGGTCTTGCGCTCTAAATGCCACTGGAGAGTCAGGATGAAGTTTAGGAATGATTACTTCGTTGTCCAGCACCTAAAAGTTTCAAAGGTTAACCTTTGGGATAATAAAGGGGAACATACTACCCCAACAAGCCTTACAGGTTCCCTACTCTACTACTAGGTTTAAGATAAACCTCCGCAAAGTGTACGACAGGCGACTTCGAAGAGCCAGATGCTGCTCGGCACCCGACGTCGAAGCCTCGAGAAAGGAAGAAGGTTTGGGGGTTTTTTTGGGGGCCTATAGAGGAAACCCTAAACCCTAAACCCTAAACCCTAAACCCTAAACCCGTTGCGGCTTAAGGTATTAAGGTTTGGGGGTTCGGGCCAGACACTTTAAATCCCGGAACCTGTGCCGCCACTCTAAACCCACAACCTGACCATGTGGGTATAAACATGGTTTCAGGGGTAATATAGAGGGATGTGGGGTACCAATGTCCTGAGTTCCCTACACAAAGCTGGTAAGAAAACCTGGTTCTGCCGAACCAGTGTTGTGGGAGGGGCCTGTTGATGCCCCTTTGAAGTCGGGATGGAGATTGTGAGATCAGACAGGGGTTGCAGGTGTTGGGTTTGAAGCTTAAAAGGTTGAAACAAAAGTAAGTGAAAATGGGCGTAGTCTTTGGGGTTTGGGGGCCCAGGGCTACTGGTACAAGGGCAGGGCTTCGTGAAACCCCACAAGCGGATTTCGACTCTCTCCGCAAGCTGGCAGGGGTCTCCTAACCAAAGTTTCTGCACAAACCCCAAACGCCCTCAAGCAGAAACGACCCACCCACCTTCCTTGATGCCCTCGAGCATCCTAAGCTCCCCAACCCATGAATCTTGCACTCCCTAAACCCTAAACCCTAAACCCTAAACCCTAAACCCTAAACCCTAAACCCTAAACCCTAAACCATCCATTGGGCTTCAGGATCATCTCAGGGCCACACTCTGCCCAATCGATTTTGCTCCCGGCGAGGTTGGGAATCATTATGCCTCGGGTAACAAGGCACAAGGAATTTGGAGGTTTAGGGGGTTTAGGGGGTTTAGGGGGTTTAGGGGGTTTAGGGGGTTTAGGGGGTTTAGGGGGTTTAGGGGATGCAAAACGCCCCAAGAATCAAAAAGCCTAAAGCCCACTTTTGCAGCCCTACAAGCTCAGCCCCAAGACTGGGGTCCAGCACCAGTTTTTCGGGTCCGCCTACGCTTAGGCTTGCTTGTCCTGCTCGATGCCCCCTCCCCGCCCTCCGCCCGCCCCTATACTTTGGATGCTTGACGTCTGTTCTGCGCGTGCCTTGTGGTTCTTCGGCTTTTCTCAAAAGCGTTGCGAAGTTTTGTTGGTCTTGCATGGGCTGCACTGGATTGTTGGACGCATGCTGATGGATGGCTGATGGGTGATTCAACTTTGCTTTAAACTTAGAGTTATCGTTCAAAGCAGGCGTTTGGTTGTGTGAGGTTTGGTGCAAGTGAGTTAGCAACCAATGTAGTCCAATGTAGTCGCAAGTGAGAGCCAAAAGCCAGTAGTGAGACTTCAGCCCAGTCCAAGAATGATGAGAGGTGATTCGAGTCTCGGGGATGGCGACGACGATAGGTTGAATCGAAGCGAAAGCCTCTTTTGGTTTAGTGCTTGGGGCTTGGGGTTTAGGTTTAGGGCCTTTCGATGCTGATAGGGTGAGGGCTTTGCTTTACTTAGGGTGTGAAGCCGGGCATAGAGCTTAGGGCTCATGGCCCGTAGGGTTTAGGTCCCAGGCATTGTGTTTATGCTGCAGGCACGTTGCGTCTATTCTGCAGGAATTTCCTTTAAATGCCAACATGTTTACAACACACGCGCATGCGCACAGCCTCTACGTGTCCAGCTGACCCCCCCCCCCCCCCCCCCGAAACCTCGACGTCGACCCTTTTGGTCACGTTGGCTGCGGTGGAGGTGCATCTTGTCCTCTCCGTGATGGCCGCTAGCACCATGTCCTTTGCTGTCTCGGACTCATAACCCCTACCCCCTAAACCCCTCAGTCCACACTCCCTGCCTGTAAGCCATCAACTCCCACGCGCCTCACCCATACATGCTCTTAGCCCTACAACCCTAAGCTCGACCCCCTCAAGTCCGCAACCCTTACTCCGAAATTAAAAGCTCTAACTGGCTACACCGAAGCGGCCTTGCATGGCCTCAGTCTGGTTTTGCTGGCCACGGGTTTTTGCCTGTCGGAGACTGGACCTACCCCAAGTCATCCCAGCAGGGCCAACCCCAGTTAAGTTGCCAAAGGATGGAGCAGCCTGACCCGTGATTAGGGTCATGTACAGTAACAAAGTAGACAATCTAGTTCCAGGCCCTTGGGGTTGGGGGTTAAGGCGAAGGGCTACTCAGGAATCGCGCTCGGGACCCTTTCATCCTGCAACATGGGGTTTAAGGCCTAGCGTTTAAGGCAAGGTTCTGGGTTAAAGGCATGGTTCGATCTACAGGGGCTACCAGAAACCCCGGACCCTTTGAGTCGCCCAGAAGTCTGAAAGCTAAAACGCCGTCCCTGCAACCTCAACCCGAGAGAAGGCCACAGAAATCCGAAACCCAAGCCCTTCCGCCCGTCCAACCTCGACCCCTTAATTCCGCAAGACTGCCACGGAGGGCACGTACCGGTTTGGTACGACGTCGATGAACACGGGCTTCAGCCTGCTTGAAGCTTCCACTGCCAGCTGTACGTCAGCACATTAAGGTATGACAATCGTAGATCGCTCCAGGATCCCTAGAGCCTAAAGCCTCAGACCGGTTCTTCAACGCTGGACCCTCAACTCAAGCTGCTTGGGGAGCACGGGCATCAATTCTTAGGCAGAGAAGCCCCAGCTGCTCCAAAGGCGCGATGACGGTGGCGAAGGTGCCTGGGCGTTCAGGATCGGCATTGTGCCCTACACCTTGACAACCTCAAAAGCAAAACTCTGAGCCCTCACAGTATAACCTGAAAAGTTACACCGAACCTTGACCCCTCTTCTTGCAGATGAAAGGTCTACTCCGGGTGCGTGATGCAAACTGGATTCAAGAACAAGATTAGCGTTAAACCTACGCTACCCCCACCCCCAGTTGTCGTGCTTCGGACTCAGCCAGGAGCATCTCGTACTACAAATTCTAAGCCCTGAACCCTGCGGGTATCCAGAGTTTACCTGACACTCCGAAAACGATGAAAACCCTAAAGACCTGAAGGCTTAAACCTCTTTAGACACCCTTCTGGTGCGGCCCGGTGGACACGCGGGGGTGATCACCTCGGCCCCTGACGATGTCAAGTTTGGGGCTGAGGGTTGCGCGCTCTATGGATCCCAGGATTTGGGATTTTAGCGTTTTTCAGGTGGTGCGGGGCAGTCCCGGTGCGGTTCGCAGAATCGTTGTGTGTGAGAGCCAATGTGCGACAGTGAGCTTCAGAACGATCGCCGCAAGGAGTCAGGGGCTTGCAATGTCTCCAAACCTACGCTGGAAGCCATCACAGCCTGAACATGAACTTGTGGTGACCCCAAACCGAAGTCACGAACCTCAAGCACTGAGCCCTGAAACCTTTCACCCTTGTGCCCTGTTCCTGGCAGGCCCCGCCTTTCTCAAGGCCCAGAGCTGCCAGCCCAATAATGTTTCCCTTGGTGGCATCTCTGGCGCAGCTGCTTAACGGGAATTCCGTTCTGATGAACATGAAATGCGCCAAAAATGAATGCAGTGTACGTGCACATTACAAGGAGAGATGGGGGGCCCTTCGGACAGAAGAATCCTGTCGGCTCCGGAGCCCGTACAAACTACTTGGAGGAGGCTGCAACAAAGCTCCGTCAGATCAACACCACAGTATTTAGGATGCCACTTACAAGCAGTCGCCCTAAAGACCTTTTGAAATTAGTGGCATGAGGTCGAAATGGTCGCCTATGCCGTAGACCCGAAACCATTGATTCCTTCCGGATTTCCTCAGGTAACCCTGGGCAGCCTGGTCGAGAAATGCAGATGTCCGCAATGAAAGAGCAGATTGGGATGTAGGGTTTAGGACCGCGTACGGAGAGCTTCAGATCTGCAGGTTCATGTCGGAGGATTAGGAGGCTTCACATGGCTTTTATGTCAAGGCTGGCCCCACCAACCCACAGCGGGGTTAGGGTTTAGGGTTTGGGGTCTCGCCCCTCTCCCCCAACCCTTCCGGCGAGCTGCAGAGCTTCCCGAGTTCACCATGATGCCATGCGCCTTGCCTTGGGCAAGTGAAGGATGTTCAGGGATATGCCTTCTGTATACCCTCCCAAACCTTCAAAACCCCAGCTCAGAGCTCTATGCTATCCATAGGGCTCCAAATCGGTGGACACTTAGCCCCAAACCTAGAAACCTACATGCGGCATTGGGCTTCGGAAACGCTGAGCCCTAGAGCCTAAACCTGGAATTTGCCGCCGGAGTTTGGGGGCTTTGCCTTCCACGGGTCGACCTAAAGTTGCCAGCAGACCCGGCTTTCTGGGGGTTTAGGGTTTAGGGTTTAGGGTTTAGGGTTTAGGGTTTAGGGTTTAGGGTTCCGGGTTCAGGGTTTAGGGCTCGGGGCTTAGGGTTAGGGTCTAGGGTTTAGGGTTTAGGGGTGATCTGCACAGTCCTGGACAGCCCGTTCAGGGCCTCCCTCAACACACTTTCGCCCATAGGGCCATTGGGGTTTCTATATGTCCACCAAGATCCCAAGAAGCCCTCAACATCCGGAACCTTAGCCCGTGAAAGCGAAACTTGTGTACAAGTAGGCTTTTGGGGGTTATTATAGTCTAATTTTAAAGGGACCCTAAATGTGATGCCCCAGCGGCCGAACAGTTGGCAAACGCGGCGCTCGAACTCTTCGGTGCCTCGGTGCTAGCGGCGCTTGCCGGTTTAGGGCTGCTAGGGCTTTGTTTGGGTTTGGGTTCCGAGACCTAAGCCTCACGCCAGAAGCTCCTAGAAAGGTTGAATCTGGAGGGCAGGGAGATGTAGGGTTGAGGACGTTGGCTGCTTGAGAGAGTTCGAGTGAGGAGTTTAGGGTTGATTAAGGGCTTCGGGGTTCCCGGCTTCCGCTTAGGATGGGGGGGGGAAGCTTTAGTTGTGTTGAGGGCAGCGTGGGAATCTTACTTACAGCTCCCTAGATCCAATACTACAGCTCAAATTCTTCAAAACCCTCCACCGTAAACCCTGTAAGCCCCCAAACTCAAACCGCGTTTTGCCAAGCTCACCATGCAAATCGCCAAGTGGCGGGGACCAGGCGCCAGCCATCCGTCACGGAGAGCCGCAGTCACAGCTGCAATCTCCTAGAGGGCATGGTTTTTGCGTGGTTTATGCAAAAGCTTTTACCAGGGTTTCAGGGTTGAGTGGCTTCAATTATTCCACGGCATGTCTGCACACACCTTTTTGTTGACCAAGCAAGACGAATTCACATCTGACGATTCTCGGCTTGCTGGCGTTCCATTTTGGCGAAGCCCTCACACCAACAGCCAACGGCTACATCGCTGCCGCGAGCAGCCCGTCATATCACAAGCATCACGCACCAGATGAATTTGTAGCCGGCACATTGAAGGAACTTGTGATCTGCATTGAAGACTGCTGTCTTTGCCAAACTACAGCCAGGCCTCCTCGCCATACGCCTCGAACTTGTATGGTGCATACCAGACCTCTCAGGCAATGGGTGCGGGCCGGGTGCCCAAGCAGTCGACAGCCGAGATTCCAAGCCCCCAAACCCTGGCACTCTAAATTTAACCTGCAAGGTGCAGGGTTGAGGGAAGTTTTTTGGCCCCTGATCCACAGGCGCCAGACCCGCAAAGCAGAGCCCGGGCATTCCTAAGTGCCTTCTAGCCTCCGGCCTTCGAGCCCTAGACCCAAAAACCCCCTTCTTCCCAGTGCCCTGTAGGCCCTGACACCGTAACTCCCTAAACAACGTAACCTAAACCCTAAACCCTAAACCCTAAACCCTAAACCCTAAACCCTAAACCCTAAACCCTAAACCCTAAACCCTAAACCCTAAACCCTAAACCCTAAACCCTAAAACCCTAACTCAAAACCCTAAACCCTAAATCCTAAAACCCTAACTCTAAACCCTAAACCCTCGACTGGCCTTCTTGGGCGCTGTGGCGGCGCAGGCGGATGTAGCAAGCGGACCGGAGGCCTGGATGCAAGCACCACGTCTTCAGCTTCGGGTTCAGGTCGCAGGCTGATGAGCACGCAGTGGCGCGAAGACGGTTTAGGGTTGAAGGTTGAGGGCTTAGGGTTTAGGGTTTTTCCCACCCCAAGACTGCCCCCAACACGATTCACCACCTCTGTTTTTCAAGTCTGCCATACGAGCTTCTACACGATTCACAAGTCGGAAACTGAAGTATTCCAACTGCATTATTCAAGATAAGCTCGCTTCAAAAATTTTTCCTTCTCACTACATCTTGTTAAACGGCTACTTGTATGTGTACTTGGTAGAGCTCAGGTTCAGGATGTTCAGGCTGTCAGGTTTATGGGTGTAAGTCCTCCTCTGTGCCGGGCAAGACATGGGCTGCCAGTCGCTGGACGCGGTTCATGGTTGCTGTGGCTTCTCTGGCGTGTCTCTGGTGTTTGAGGCATCTGAGTCTAAGCCCTAAAGTCCGAAAGCCTAAAGGCTAAACCCTGAGGCCTTAAGAGTTTAGAGACTCATGGTTGCGAGTGTTCATTTGCTATTTGCTTCCTGGTTGGCCGAATGGCTGCAGGCCGTTGGAGTCCTTATGAAAGTCGAATACCAAGGCCTCAACATGTTGCTTCAAGGCTCTGGGGTTGAGAGGCTAGAGGCAATGCCCTCAATATCTAGCTTCAACCCGCTGGCCCCAAGACCCGACAACCCCAAGCTTGGGCTTTAGGGTCGAGGGACCGGGCGCGTGCAGTTTGTGGCGGAACGTGCTTTCATGATCCCAGATCCTGAAGAGGCCCAGAGATTCGATGCTCTCAGAAGGCCTCAACGAGAGGGGGTTTCCGCAGAGGATTGAGTAACCTTGCTTCGAGTCTTTGCAGGGTTTGAGGTCCGATTCTTTGCGGAGGTTCGGTCTAAGAGCGTGCATAGTCAAGGGTGGTGTATTTAGGTTTAGGAAACCCTTGAGGGTCCTAACCCCTGAGCCCTCAACCCAAAATCACACAAACCCGATCTTGACGCTGCCTATTTCTGGGCGTCTCAGCTGGTTGGCGAGGAAAATTGTGTACCAATCTCTGACCCTAAGGACAGGCAAGGTACATCACAAGGGACCAGCCGGACAGGATGCTGGAGTGGATTCTCTGGTTGTTTGTTCAGGAGAGTTTCGGTGGCAGGACCAGATGCCCTTTGCGAACTTGCAAGCAGGAACTGTGAAGACACGGAGCCATTAATGTTGGCTGTACATCCTAAAGCGCTGCGGCCGAACACCCCCTAGTCCTAAGTTGCTTGAGCCCTGAAATCCGAACCCTCAGGCCCCTCGACCCTCACAGAAAGAGGCGATCCGAGAGCCCTAGCCCGCGTAGGCTTTATACGCTTTAGGATCGAGACTTGATTAGGACTCAGGTCTTCGGGTAATCACAGCAGACAAATCGGGAAGTTCTGCCTCAAGTCCCTTCACAAGTCCAGCCCTGCTCGGCCCTCACCTTATCCGGCCCTGAGCAAACCCTAAACCCACTACCAAGGCTTGCACGGCAGAATGCTGCTTTATGGGCATCTGGTTCAGAGAATCCACAGACAGTGTGCCAACACTATGGGGTTGCGATATTCAGAGCAAAAGGGGTTAGGTTGTGAGCTGTATTCGGCCAAACCACGCTTCTTTCTGGGTGCGGGTCATCGGACGTGACCAAATTTCGCAGGCCTTGCGGGCCGTGGTTTTCATGGCTTCTACTGTTCGGGCAAGGTTGATGTCCTAAAGGCTTGGTGTTTGAGGCCGTGCTTGGCTTATTGTTTCCGTGCCAAAAAAACCGATTTGCTGCTATTTTAGAGTTTTCGATCTTTCAACCGACAATTCTTAAGACTCTCTCGGAGATGTAGCAGGCGGGCACACTTTTGTCATTCTGCATCGGCGATGAAGAGGACTTTGCCTCGAGCCAGCTACGCAGACAAGACGTACGATGTGGGATTCATGGTTCAGGTTTAGAGCTCAGACATTAACTGACAACATGATGTCAACATTAACTCCGCGCTTCATTGGCGCAGCCGGTGAAGAACCTCACGGTTGGTCGTGAGCCTGAGGCACGCATGATGGCAGCTGAAAAGCCCTAAGCTTCGAACCCTAACTCCTGAAACCCTTCAATTCTGAAGCGCTTGAGCCAAACCTTACACCACATTGTGACTGTGGGCATCGTCTCTGTTGTACAGGTCGACCGGATGTGGTGTCCAACACAGAGACACACGGTGACACAAACACTGAGACAGAGAGAGAGCGAGAGAGCGACAGGGAGAGGCAAAGGGATGGAGAGAGGGAGTCTGACGGCTCAAGGAAGGTTTTGGATACATGGTTGAGGGTGAAGATTAGCCTTGGGACGACATCTAGGGTCTACATTCACACAATGCCTCAAGTTGTCAGTCCTACTCCGACATCCTTGGTCAGATCTGGGCAGCCCCGACACAGCTCGCAGCTCCGTGTTCTCCCGTGTGGCCTGGTTAATCTGCTGCCTGGCAAGGCATCTTAGGGTGGAAGGGTGAGGCCCTGGACCCTGGACTCCTTCAAGGCTCTTTTCGAGTTGGCCCAATCCGAAATGAATCAACGGTAGAACCCAAAGCCATCCCAACTGAGCCTTTTCGCAAGAAGTCTGCAAGGCCCGGTGGGCCCAAACTTGAAACTGTTCTGCTACGCAAGGAAGGCTGGTGTCTCGCCCGTCACAGATGAATCGAGCGGCACTTTCCGGTGCAGTGGCTGTGCTGAACATGTCGCGTACAGACCTCGACTGAAATCCTTGTCTAATATCTATCGAAGACTCCCGTCCTATTCCCTATGAAGACCGACATTGCAAAACCCATGGGACGGAGAACTTATAATTTTGACAAAGCCACAACTAATGACGCTTCGACCCGCGAAGTTCTCTCATAAAACGCCCTTGATGTATCTTGATGTGGGGTTTAAGCTGAAGTTCAGGATTCTGATGTACGCATGACGGTTGGAGTCGTAGTCGTAGTGTTTCGGCACTTCGAGATTTGAGGTCTAGTTAGTTGCAGCAACCAGACAAGTTCTACAAAGCTTCCCGAACCAGCCCTTGAGCCACACATCCATGCAGACCCTGAGCAGCCGAAACCTTCGACACCATCGCATTCGAGGTACGAAACTTCAATCCCGCCCTGGCGATGGCGGTCCGCGGGCCTCACGGCCACAATGGTGTCACGGAGGCTCCGGAGCTGCGCCTCGCAGGGCCGAGATGCTCACGGTATGTATACTGAAAGCCGTGACAGGCCTAGTATCCGCAGCTGCTTTCAAAAAAAAGCAAGTCGCCTAGACCTGCCGGTGTATTTTGGAAAAAGTCGACAGGCCGGGCTGCAGATAGAGTCTTGCAGAAAAGAGAAGAATCTCGCGTTGTGGTACCAGGCAAACCGGCAGGCCCTGTTGCTAACTCGAGTCCTGTGTACAGGCTAAATTGCCAATGCACGTCCTCCCCAGAGACCTGAAGCAGTTGGGAATCGGGGAGTAAGCCCTCATATGAATTTTCGAGGATTTCGGCGCCGTAGCAGCAAGCCCAAAAGCAGAACCTTGGACTGCTACAGTCGAAGGACAGGCAAAGCTTTCAAAGCTTTCACCCTCCCTAATAAAGAGAAAACCGCAGATGTGAAGAATATGCGGTGCTCTGTAGGGGGAGGCAGGAGGAGCGTTCAGGGTTTGGGAGTTCAGGGGGTTTGGGTTGTGGGTGAAGAATTGGGGGGGTTCCAAAGGATTTAACCCTCAGCCCGTATCTGCCTGCTGTGCCACTTTCAGCTCTTGCTCCACCTGCAGTATCTCTATGTCTGACTTTGGGCTCTAGGGTTGTGTGTTCAAGAAGGGCTTCGCTTTGGTCGGAAAGCTTTGCTGATAGGGGGTAGGCTTTGGGGCGTGGGCTTGCGGACAGAGGGAGGAGGGCTTGAGGCTATCCGCTTTTGCAAAATGGGCCGAGGGGTTTGTGGTTTAGGCGTTTAACGGCTGACCAGGGAAAGGGTCAGAATGCCCCCTGAGGCAAGTGGAGCCCTTGTGTCAGAGCGGGCAAGTTCCGACCCCTGGAACTTTGTACGCAGGGCTTCATGTGTTTCTCAACGTTTAGTACGGTTGATGGATGTCTCGGAAGCCATCATGAATCATGGGTCGAGGGGTTCGAGAGTTCATGTGGAAGTCGGTTTCGTTTTGCAGGCCTCTAGAAACTCGGACCATCTGGAATCAAGGCACTGGCAACCCAACCCCTGACATCACCACAACCAAAGGCCTCAACCCCGAAAGCCTCGAAACACCTTACGCCCCCAAACTCACCCTCAACTCTATCTCTATCTACAGTCGCTCCCGGCACCTCCCTCCGTCGAAGGAGAAGACGCACCTCCTCCTTGCAGAAGGACGCAGAGACTTCGGTTTGGAGGTTGGGCTTCAGGGCTTCAGTGCTTCAGGACTTGAATGCGCACTTCACAACCGCCCCGACCACACAGCCTGCACCCTCGACAGCCAGTCCTCCATGGCGCTGCTCTGCCTGGCGTCCCGCGTCGCCACAACAGCTACTGCTTGGGACGTGAGGATCCAGCACGGGAGCCCGAGGAGCCCGCAAACCCTAACCATCCCTAACCCTACACCCTAAGGCACCTCAAGTCCATGCACAAGTGCATCTCATGTACTTGAAGCTCCTCAGCCCCAGTTGGAGGCTCGTCTGAGTCGCCCTGGCCTGGAAGCTTCCTTCTCCCAGCCGTTTTTGCGTACCGCAGTGTCGCAAGCGCAATACACTCCCCAGCGGACGATCTATTGCAGTTGTTGCAGTCTTCCCAACTGGCCGAAGCTTAGCGTGCTAGGCTGAAACTCTTCGGTGCCTTGACGCCTCTTGCCGAGCTTGCGCTTGCTCCGTCTCCACCTGCCCCAGCTTTGAAGTTTTAATTTCAAGGTCGGCGAAGCTTTTCGAATTTACTTGGGGATCAGGGTGTAGAGTTTGAACTCGGCGTAGCCACATAAATCTTGAACCGTGTTGCATGTGGATACTGCTCCCCACGCCCGCGACACCCCCCCGCCCCTCCCCCCATGCTCCCCCTTGCCCCCGCAAGGTGCGAGAGGCTTGCCAAAATCTTGTTCCCCAAGGGACTTGGCCAAACTCTTACATCCTAACACCTTTCTGAAGCATCTTGAACCCCAACTCTCACAAACTTAAGATGTAAGGTCCTGACAAGACAAAAAAGCTTGTCGTCTGTCATATATACATGCAGGCAGGCACGAAAGCATAACTAAATGCATGCACGCTTAAACTGCTTGCACCTCTGCGTCTCAAAACTTAACTTTGAAAGCCACGCCTCGCGTCTCAGGGCTGCGGCTCGACGTTCCGCAGCGACGGTCTCCTGTCGCAGGCGTGACGCCTGGCGCTCGGAACTAGGGTTTTCGGGTCTCCGGCTCCAGGGCCTCGGGAATCTTCTTACGATATACTTTGGGGCTGTAATGTCCTTCTAGCTTGAACTCCAAGGCCAAACTAAAACGTTAAGTCTACAGCTTTGAGGCTCTGCAAGGTTGAGGCCTGTGCTGCTCATATTTGTAGTTTACAATGGCTTTCTAGTTCTATTTCAAGGATCCCTATCCGTCTCGACACCCCCGCCAATCTACAAACGTGCAGCGAGATCACAGTTTTCCCCCTGACACGCCCCGCACATGTAGCGGTGGCCACCCTTGAAATAAAAGATTGCCGACGACACGCCGCGCACCCCCCCCCCCCCTTTACTGGTAACTCGGAACCGTAGCTCGTAACCCTTAAAGCCTGAAACCGGTGTTTACTTAGCTTTGCGGTTTCTCAACTTCCAGCCCATACGAAATGAAGCTCCTACAAACACTACAGCCATCTGCAGCACTCAGCCTCATCTTCCAGCTGCGATGTCTCTGCATCCGTTCTGCGACCCTCCTGGAGAAATACCCAAATGGGTCTAAGTTGAAACCTAAGAGAGTCTAAGTTGAAACCTAAAGTCTCAAGACTTCAGCTGCATTTTGTCTCGAACTTAGAGCTTTAGGATCCGAGGTTGTCTTGCGGAAAAATGGTGGTCTCAGAGCTGGGCATTAGCTACAGGCATCATGGCTCCAGAATTCCGGGCTTATGCTTGACCGGACAGACTTGGGATGACTTGCCTCGTGTGAGCTTGCTGACAAAGGGGTCAAGGGGTTACGGCTTCGGCTCCGGCAAACGCAGTATTCAACTAGCAAGATCTCTATATTGTCCACCTAGCGCCGTCATCCAAGCAAACTCAGCAAGTCACTGGAACCACATCGAGCCCAAGCCCAAATCCTTAACCCAATATTATCCAACAAGGCATGCTGCTTGAGGACTATTTTTCTCCGAGGTCGAGAACGCCGGTTTTCTGATGATGTGCCACCCTGGTCCAAGCCGACCGGGGGAAATCGATCTATTTGTGGGGGCTTGCGCCACCAGCAAACGACTTAGGTGCTCAGATTCCATAGGCTTCAGTGCGACTACTCTGCCCATCGAGTGAGATTCTTTGTGCCCTGTCGGCAAACGACCGGTTACGTAGCCAACGGCTCCAAAGACACTAAAGACACCAACTCCTTCAGGACTTTGTGTTTGGGTTTAGACTGAGTAGGCTAAGGCTCTAGGTCATGCAGAGGCACTCACCAATATTTAGATGGACTCACCACTGACAGTGACATCAACCCTACCTCATGTATGGAGAAACTACCCACCTCCACCCTGCTGAAACCCTGCCAAAATCCGAATTCTCAGTCTTCATCTGTCCGACCGTGTAGCACAGCACTCAGGCCCTGCCTGCTGTTACCAGTGAACAAAAGCAAGGTTTTCAAGTGGTTGAGGATCCAGGGTAAACGATTGAACGAACAGGGCTTAAGCTTCAGGCCCTAAGGATTCTGAGCGGGCCACAGACTATCAGTGAATCAGGTTCGTCAAGCCATGCGCGGGACTGTGGCATCTGCAACATGAAAGGCTGAAGCGACTATTGGCTTCTAGTTTCGGTTGCACAATGACTAGTTCGGCCCACGCTTTGGAAACGACCTGAGGAACGTAAGTTCGGCGATTCTGCTGCAAGCCCAGATCCTTTCCATGAATAGCTTGGATGACAAGCCCAAGCCCTCTAAGCCAACAATGCCAAACCCTAAAGCGTAAAGAGCCTTGTGAGCAAAATGGGCGTGTTACCTTCATGGCAGTTCTCTCCTAAACAGGCAAATCCAACCTGTTGCTTCGGGCTCCGGGCTTAGGTTCTGACATTCTCAAGGTCGAGGGCTGAGGTTGCAAGGTCTTGAGCATTTTAATAGTAGGCTTTAGGTGCGGGCCCTGTAGGGCTGTTTGCTCAGCCGATGAGAAGACAGAGCTGTTCCAGCGCAGGGGTCGTTACAAAGGATTTTGACAAAGCGTGCCATAGCCTTCATACATATTCCTATGGTTGAGAACCTCAACTTACAATGCGGGGCTACAGGGTATGTCGTGACAACCACATCTGCAAGGTCAAGCCCTAACGGTATGGATCTCATGGGTTTGCCGCGGAAAACTCCTGAAGCTCTTTAGTCAGCCTGCTCTTGCCGGCATCATCGAGCCTTGAGCAGGGGATCTTTACGTGTCGAGAGCCCGAAGCCCGAAGCTCTGTACAGCCCAACTTCCTCATAACCCTGAACCTGAAGCGTTGATGAGGCCTGCCATGCAACCCTTACCCCTCCACCGCGGGTTCATCTCCCGGCACATGGGGTTTTGGGTCGAAAGGGATTTTCCATAGGTGTTGTGTCCGTTTACCTGTCAACCCGCAGGATTCGAGGTTTATGTTCAGGTCAGAGGATTCCCGGATGTGCAGGGGGTACTCGAGAATCTGCCTGAGCTGCTTCTTGTCGCGCCTCTTCCGGGTTTAGATCACGATAGCCCTCCCTGGCACAGCCTAAGTCCTTTACGTCCCTCAACCTCCACTGCCCTTGGGACAAAGGACCTTAGGTCACTGTGTCCATGCGACCGGCTGGGAGCCGATGGACATTGAAGATTTGGGGGGCAAGGTTTCGGAACAAGACGCAACAGGGTCTGGCTTTCGGGGCTGTGGATAAGGAGAAGCCAAGAAGCAGAGTGGCGTCGATCGAGTTCTGAACCATCTTGATGACATCCTCGCGGGAAACCGGCAGAGCCTCAGTCAGCTTTCTTGATTCCGAACAGGTCTTGGGCTTGGGGTTTAGGGAGGTCTGAAGACACAAGGTATTGATTCTTGAAAAGTCCAAATGCTAAACCCGAGCCTTTAAATTTGCTTCTCTCAAGGGTTGCGTGCTCATTATTGAAATGGTTCCAGTCTAGGGGGTTGGCTCAGTTGTGTGCTACGTGTGCGTGCCAAGGGCAGCTGCAGCTGCAGCTCCCACGAGCGACTGGACTCCCCGTGGTGAGGCGCCCTCCGTTGAAGCAGCGAGAGTGAGATTGAGGGTTTGTCGCCCGCCACGAGGCATTGAAAGCGAATGCCAGAGTTTACGGGCATCCGTTGGGCATACCAAGGGAATGCAGAGGTCTCACAGCTCGCTTCGTTGAAAGCAGTGCCGCTGATGATCTGTAGAATTAGAGCTACATCATTACGGCGGGGCCTCGGAGCCCGCTTGTAGAGTTCGTTCCAGTTTTTAGGGCAAACCTGAATGAACAACAGCCCCAACTTCATCATTCAAGGTTCAACTAGGAATAAAAAGGGTGCCCTTTTTGGTTCTCAAAGGGGTTTATAAGGGAACCTGAACTCCCAAAAAAGGGAACAAGGGCTAGTCAAGTTAGGCTGAGGGCCACCCCGCGGTTGCGACTTGTGTTGTTGAGCCGCTACGTCGATCCCCGTCGTCCTCAACGGTAAACCGTGAACTCCTTTGAGGTTCGGTCGGGGACATTTTGGTTTTAAAGCCCTGTCAGAGTTTTGAGATTCTCCAGCTACAGCTGGGTGTTGTCTTGTAAGCAGCCTGACTGACATGGCAAGAAGGGCTACCTTACTTGCAACTTACAGCTACGCAGGAGCCTTCTAGGGTTGAAGGATTTTTTTGGGTTCAAACCCTAAACCCTAAACCCTAAACCCCAAACCCTAAACCCTAAACCCTAGACTTAAGACTTGAAGTTCAAGGCTTAGGGCTTCGGGGGGCTTGGAGGGCCGACACTTGAGCTCGGGGGCTGCTGCCACTTCCAAGAAGTTCTCCGTCATGTAGCCTGACATCAGCTTCTCACGTAGAGGGCGGCTCTGGCTCGGGGTTCAGGGTTAGGGAGGGCTTTCGGGGCTTTCGTGTCTTGAGCTGTTTTCTGGTTCAACATGAAACCGCTGGGCCTCAAGCTGAACAGCAGCAGACGGGTGGGAAAACCTGAAACCCCAACGCGGACTCCTGAGCTCACGCTCAAGCCCCAGAAATCCTGGAAACCCTCAGTTCTGCCTTACCTCGAGACCCAAGCCCAGACCGAAACCCCGCAAACCCTAAACCCTAAACCCTAAATCCGGAGCCCAGGAGCCGCCGAAATAGGCGGGGTCATCTGAGTTGAGCCTTGGGCCGCTTGGTAGACCAGTAACCAGAATATAATTAGGGGTACCCCTTGTTTTGGGGTTGGCTGCTTTGTAGGGGAACCTGGTACACCAAAAAGGGAAAAGGATACCACTGGGCGGGACTCGAGGAGTTGATGTTTCGAATCAGAGCCTTCGGCCCCACAAACCCCTGAATCCCTACCTCAAGGTTCATGATGCGTGGGTACTGTAGTTACCAGCACGGCTGTATGTAGTTAGATGATAGCGTGTGTGTACCTGTGAAGCTGCAAGTACACCTCCCTGAAGCCCCAAAGCGCGAGCCCGCAAGATGAAAGTCCTCCATCCTGCCGGATTCATGAGGGACTCTGGTTTTCGGGTTAGAATGGCCTTTAAGCCCTCTGAAAAATATTGCTGAACATGATCCTCTTAAACCCAAATAAGGGGAAATATAAAGATCCCAAGGGCCTACCTGGTAGGGTTTTTTTGGGTCCGGGGCTTCCGTCTCCCAACCCGCTGCGACCACCCACTGGACACCCAAGGTACGGGCACCTGTACCCTGGGTGTGCTGGACTCAGGAGGGTTCGAGCTCTGGCGTTTCTGTGGGACATGTTTCCTTTCATAAAAAGGCGAGGTGCGTAATGCAGACCCCTTCGTCCAGCATCTTCTTGAGGTTGTGATCCTTCATCCTTGGAGAGGCGTGGTTTCTGCGGATTCTGTGCCCTGAGCCCTAGAAACCAGCAAAGAAATGCACCCTGAAACTTGGCTTGGAGCCGGCCAAGGGTCACACCACTGCAAGACGGACGAAGACCCTAAATCCTCAACTAGGATGGCCCTTCAAACCCTCTGAAAAATATTCCTAAATATGGTCCTCTTAAACCCAACAAGAAAAAACATAAAATATCCCAAGGGCCTACCTAGTCAACCAAGCGACTCCTTGAAGACGCAAAGCTTGACGTTCGACAGGGGGCAAACAGTAAGTGGCATGCGCTCCTGGCGGGGGCTTCAGACTCAAGATTGGGGTTCCAGGGCCTATGGCCTATGGCCTATGGCCTAAGGGGCTTGGGGTTTCGAGTGTAGCATTCAGGGTTGGTATTGTATGCCGGTGACCTTGACTTAAACAGAGAAGAACGGTTTGAGAGCCTTAACTCCTAATCCCCAAAGCCCAAAGCACGTCAAAACCAACTGTGATACTCCTGCAACTTGCTGCATGTTGTTCGGTGAACTGCGGAGATTCTTCTTTTCGGCACTACATACATACATACATACGTACGTACATACATACATACATTTACAAAATCTGCAGCCTCGGAACTGGCGTAGAGTGGTTTCTTGGGTGATCTTGTGAAGTTTGCGTTGCGTCGGAGCAACTACCCCACCTGTTGCCTCAGGCTCCTTGAAGGCCGTGGACGAGTCATGTACCCAACAGGGGGAAATG